AAAAACTCCAAACTGTAACAATACAATCCTAGTCCCGTGGATAGTGTTAAGAACTCAGGCTGCGTTTCCTCGCTGAATAAGCCTTATATATGTATCGTCTTCAACCACAATCAAAAATATTCCTAATGGGGTAAATAACTTAGTTATTATTGTAAAAAATATAAAATTCCTTTATTACATGGTCTGTAATATGAAGTTCTCTGTAATTTGTAAATACACAAAAAAGACGTAAAATCTATGTCAGTAAACGTAAGTAACTACTTAAAAACAAAAAGATTCTTCATTAGCCTGTTTTGCCTATCTGAGACACGGGGTATATGAGCATACACATGCACCCTCACCTCAAAAGATTATTCTCGGGTTTCTCTCTAATTACGTTAAGAACGCTTTTGGTGTTCGAATGAACCCCGTGCAATTTTTTTGATATAATTGATGTAGTAAATGATCTTTGATTACCTAAAACTCAATAACACCACATTATTAGATCCTACCCAGGCGAAACTGGAGTGGGTTGCTAGTTTGTTTTAGAAGAAAGGTAATGAAGCTTATATATTTAATTAAAAGATACTGTAATATAGATTACACAAAAAGTATGTGCTTACTGCATTAGATGACGGGTTCATTTGATCATGCCCATGGCTGAATGTTATGTAATTTCTAGTTATGCCGTTTACAAACATAAATTGCACAAGGTCAAATATCCAGACCTGGAACAATTATTTGTGGGCCATACAAATACTTGTTCCGCGCGGCATTCGTTCCCGCGGCCCTTAGCGCTGCAACTCAATTGCTAAGCCACTACACCACGGAGTTGTCAAGTGGTTGAATTTCGACCATCAATGATACTACTTAAATAATTATAGCAACCTTATATACCACCTGTCAGAAAAATCTCTCGAAACTCTCCAATAGAACAAAGTCGAAGCTTATTACTTGGACCACTCCCGATCAAGATAGTTGTTCTATGTTGATCGCATTGAGCGGTAAGGACGCCGGGTGACAAAGGCTCCGATGAAATTTTAGAAATTCCATCCGGGTTTCGCAACGATAAATGCCGACTACAATGTCCCCGGTTTGGTAAATAAGACTGTCTCGTCGTCTAGTGGCCGTAAACGCCCATGAGATCTTGGGTTCGAATCTCGGGTCGAGTAAAAATCAGTTATTGGGTTTTTCTATCAAGAAATTGTAGTCCGGAGTCAGGAAGTTGGCGGTGTTTCATACAGCAAGCCGTAGGTCCTGCGCGTGATCTCTCTCCGGTCGTGTCAGATTACAGTCCCATCGAATTATGAGAGTGAGGTAATAGAGAATGCACCTGTGCTTGCGCATGCACTCGGGCACTATAATCCTGTCCAGCACAGATGGCAAGCCTCCGTTAAGACTGACCCCCGTGACCGAAATTAGGTCTGGAGGACATCCCGGAACGAAAAGAAAATAATAGCAATACGCGTACGTAATGTTTTTGACTTGTATACCGTTACCGTTACAGCCTATTAAAGTCCACTGCTGAGCATAGGCCTCCGCCATATAGGGCCATATTGCCTTATAGGGATATTTGTCGTAGTTGTAATGTTACTGTTAATTTAATAATTTCACCTCTCAGTGGGTCATGTGCTCCTGGTAGATTATCTTCTATACATCAACCCATTACAGCCTATTAAAGTCCACTGGTGAATATAGGCCTCCCCCATAGATTGTCTTATAGGGATAGTTGTCATAGTTGTAATGTTACTATTAATTTAATAATTTCACCTCACAGTGGGTCATGTGCTCCTGGTAGATTATCTTCTATACATCCATCTATTAGCCTATTAAAGTCCACTGCTGAGCATAAGCCTCTCCCATAGATTACTTATAGGCTTAGGTCCCCCTATAGGTCCCCCATAGACTTATAGGGATATTTGCCATAGTTGTCACGCTTGGCAAGCGGGTTGGCAACCGCAGTTGTTTAAAGGAAGCAGCATGAAAGGTACTGGGATTACTAATCTGTATGCTACAACCTATTCATGCTACAACTACAACTACTACATAGTTGCAGCGTGGCTCTACCACGTTAAAATATAGTAGCTTTTTGTATTTGAGTGTCGGTTTACCGTCCCATCGGACTGTGAGTGTGAGGGAATAGAGAGTGCACCTGTGCTCGCGCATACATTTGTGCACTATAATCCTGTCCTACGCAGTTGGCTAGTCGCCGTTGAAGACTGGCCGCCATGACCGAAATTCTGTATGGAGGACATTAGTATGATAGAATGTCCTCCTTGTTATAAAAAGGTTATAAAGGTAAACGGGACCTTTGCCGATTTTATTATGATACTAGCTGTTCCCCGCGACTTCGCCCGCGTGGAGTTATTTTTCGCGGAACCCTAAAATAAAAGCAGCCCCAGTTACTCCTTATAACATCAGCTATCTGCCAGTGTGTATAAATATTGACAAATATTGACATTAATATTTATACGATACTAACGTCACTCAATTGTTTTGCCTTCCCGGAACCCCTCCACTAACACTTTATGATATGGTATTAAAGTTCAAATTGACTTTTAAGTATTATTACGAATCTTTTGTATAGAAATATAGAAAAGTGTTTTTTTTTTTTGGACTTTTTCAGGCAATCTTTTAAATTTTTCTCTCAGTAAAAACCATCTTCATACTTCAAGGAATATTATAAAAAAAGAATTAGCGAAATCGGTTCAGCTGCTCTCGAGATTTGCGCTTAGCAACACATTCAGCGATTCATTTTTATATTATAGATTATAGTTAGTTATATGTAAATATACTATATTAAACTAAAAATAAAACTAAAATTACATACCACACAGAAATACCAACAAATATATGAATTTTATGGCGAAAAATATTAAGAGTCATAGTGAAAGTCGATGTACATTATTATAAGCGTTAAAAAATCTGCAAAGCCTGGGTTTTGATAAATTTAATCCCAGTTCAGTTCTACTGCTTTTACCAATGGTAATAATATGTTGTACAATTTAATTATGGAACTTTTTTAAAGGTATAATTTACAAATTAATATTTTTTATAGGATAGGGTAAACAAACGAGCACACAGTCCACCTGATGGTAAGTGGTTGCTGTGACCCAAAGCCATTTACATTTATTCTCAATAAAGAATCAAAATGCAGATAGGTCGTCACCCGTGAGGACTAAGATGGAATACCTCTTTTCCAATTAAAATGGATCTCCGGTTCTCTACACTCACCATACGAAAGACAGCAGCGTTAAGCTACTATTTTACGCTGGTATTCTGTGAGAGCGTGGTCCTTCCCCGGTCGAGCCGACCCATTCGTGCTACAACTATAGTACTAATATAGCTGCAGCGTGGTTCCACAATTGTTATTAAAACATTTAGAAAAGGCATGGTAGCGATCACTCATTGCCAGGTGTTATTTTCAATCATGGTTAGTAGTACAATAACCCTTATTAAACAATTTTTACTCTTACTTTTAAAAATTAATATTAAAAAACTGAAGGTAGCCGGGCTAACTATGACAGCAGGACGTCAAACAACTCAGTCCCCCGTGACCACGGGTGCTGGAAAGCACCCGAAACGTCGGGAATATAAAAATAAGTTAATATACGCGATAAAATCCGTAAAATTAGTTTTATTTAAAAATTTTTACTCTATAAAAAAATTGAACTTTTGATTGGTAGTTAATAGTTAGGTTAGGTTAGGTTATGTTTTTACTTTGTTGTAAAATCATCAATGCAAGGGATTACTGAATCCCTTCAATCGACTTACTACTATAAATATCTTGCACTTGTTTCCTAGTTATTACAGAATTTACATCACTATTTCCATTTCATTTTCGTGAAAATATTTCACCTGGCATAAAGTAGATAATTATAGCGGATACCATGAGATGAATCAGACATTTTCTAAAATCGCTTCTTATTACGACTACTCTTAAATCTTATCAAGTTTTAATAAAACGAATAGTGAACCATCAATGTCGATGTCCCGACAAAGTCACTAATGTGATGGCATTATACAGGTTTTTCTATAGCATTCTTACTCTACGATAATGTGCGTGCCATTGGAAAAGTTAACAGGATTAACTTACACACAATAATTTCGACTTAAGCAGCTGACGTGGGAAAGAATGTGGTCTTTTATTGGTAGTGGTATAACTAGGTCCCCCAAGGGTAGGGCGGCCACGGTCTGGCCGGCATATTTTGGAATAGAAAAATCTAAATCTAAATGTGTAACTTAGTTCTTAATCATTGAAAGTTTTAAAATGGAGATAATATATATGCACACGTACAATTTGAAATTAAAAGTATGTAAATTTAATTTAATTTTTTTATTGTCAAGTTTTCTAAAGTTAAGTTATTTCTATTCGTTTGAATATTGATTCTAATAATGCGCTTAACGTGAACTACAGGGTTTTTGTTACATGTTGTATATATATGCAGGAGGCATCTTGTAGTGCGCTAAACTGGCGCCGATTGTCGGATTTTGACGTATTCGTGCGTGGTATATCAGTAAGAAATGTACACACTAATCATGCGCCTTTTAATCAATTATTCTATATAGGTCTACTGGATGATATTTTAATAAATTATATATGTATAAAAATCACTATATTACAATACAATATTATGGTTGTATCACGAATGGATCGGTTCGACCGCTGAAGGACCACGCTCTCACAGAATACAAGCGTAAATTAGCAGCTTAATGCTGTTGTGTTTCGTACGGTGAGTGCAGAGAACTTTAAGGTTGACCACACATTTAGGTTCTTAACCGAGGATAAATGTAGATATCTCTGGTCATTGTATCCAGTTACCACGAAGTTAAGTAGTACTTTTATACGAATTAACTGTATGCTATATGCGATAATATTTCTATGTGTTTTTGTGTCTACATAAATAAAATAAGAAAAATACTGACTCTCACAGACAATTGCTTTTTATCTGTGAAGCTTACTATACATTCTTTCAGACCTAATGTATTTATGTATTTGTCTGTTTGTTCCCAGAGTTGCAATGGAGAGTCGTGTGGGGTTGGACTACATAGTGGAGCATGCCGAATACGCGGGCAAGCTCGCGGCAGCGCTTTCCTCACCAGCGGCTGCCGTCAAGAAGCAGGTATGTAAATGACCAAGGTAGACTATGTACAGCTATAGTTTTGGGTGGTAGTTGCTGCATTATTATGATAAACATCCTCCAGACTGAATTTCGGTCACGGCGGCAAGTCCCAACGGAGACTAGCCATCTGCGCAGGGCAGTATTACAGTGTCCAAGTTTGTGCGCAAACTCAGCTGCACTCTATTCCCTCACTCTCATAGTCCGGTGAGACGGTTATCCGACTAAAAATGGAAACGCAAATGCTTAATGGTTCCTAAACTAATTTTTTTCTTGTAGAATAAGGATGACAAAACTAAAATTAGCTAAACCTAGAAAATATTTTCTGAGTTCATCCATAAATCCATTACAGCACGACAAACGCACAAACGAGCACACAGTCCACCTGATGGTAAGTGGTTGCTGTGACCCATAGACATCTACATTTATCCTCAATAAATAATCAAAATGCAGATGCGTTGTCACCCGTGAGGACTTAGATGGAATGCCTACCGTTCAGTAAAATGGGTCTCTATACTCACCATATGAAACACAGCAGTGTCAATAAAGCAAGCTGCCATTTTACGCTCGTATTCTGTGAGAGCATGGTCCTTCCCCGGTCGAGCCAACCCATTCTTGTTACAACTATACTACTAATATAGCTGCAGCATGGCCCTACCACGTATAAAATCCGTATATGAAAAACCACTACTGAACATAGGCCTACCCTATTGATTGTATTGTAGAGGATATTTTGTAATCGCAGTTTTAATAATGTTAAAGTTGTTATCAAGAACAAGGTATTGCCCATTTTCTTCTACAGTTTCCCTCTATCCTCTCTTAAGACATCCACAGGATGATATGGCATAGATATTCTCACTATTCTCATTTTTCTGAGTAAATACATAAAAAGTTATAATAAAACCTATTAAAATAAAGTGCAACGGTTTGACATATATGTAAAAACTTGTTATAGATATCCTGTTAAAAATGACGTACTTACTAATAAGTATTTATGTTGAAGACATTGATGTGTGCATAACAACTCTTAATTACTCTAAATCTGGCCACTAATATAATGTTTAATTGACATTTAAAAAATATATACGTTGACATTTGTAAACGAAATTTAAACATGGAATTTAAAAAACCAATCAAAGCCCAGAGTTCCTTGCCGGTTGTTTTTAAGGTCTTGTTTTCCGAACAGGTGTAGATTTTGATTTTGATACGAGTTTTAAACAAGCCTAAATTAAATGATAAGTTTTTAATTTGAATTTGAATCCGTTCAGTCTTTTGTATTCCGTCAGTACGTACTCGAGGCACGTGAGGACTTCTTTCTTAGCCGTCCCTACTTAATAATTTATTTATTTAAAATCTTTATTAAATTCCGTTTAGGAAAAAAAGGATACAAAGGGCGGACTTAAGGCCTAAAGGCATTTTCTACCCGTCAACCCATGAAGGGGTTAGAATTTGACGTAGGCATAGCAATTAAAAAAAGAGGAAAAAGAATAGAATCTTAAAATAAATACACATTATGTGTGACAAAATAATTATGGGGGGAATGAGGAAGTCTAAAAGGCGAGTCTTATGTAGAGTTACCAACTCTCCCAGTATTTCGGGACATTGCCGGAAAAATGCAATTTATTTTTAAAACCTTCCGGAGAGAAACTGGAAAATGCCTATATTACATACACTGTAATATCAGTTCGTCGCAGAATTACTAAAATAAAATTATAATTAACACACGTGTTAGAGTCACGCTGCAGGTGTATTATGGCTAGCGGTATACTTTGAGAGCGTAGACCGTGGAAGGACCACGCTCTCACAGTATACTAGCCTAAAATACATATACTTAGGTTGTTTCGCATGGTGAGTTTAGAGAACCGGAGACCCTCAGGGTTGACAACGCATCGTATTTTGATTCATAATCGAGGATAGATGTTGATGTCTATGGGCCAGCATCCTCATATCATCAGGTGGACTGTGTGATCGTTGCTCGCGCATTTTCTCTAAATAAACTAAAATTGCAAACAGAAAAAAGTTCTACCGCCAATCGGCGATGCAATGTCTGACAAAATTGGTGATTTGTGATCATATACTTTTTTAAAAGATGAATGATAATTTTAAAAACGATAATGATGTCTTACTTCTTAGTTATTACAGATTGCGTATATTAACTTATGTTATACTCCCGACGTTTTCAACACTTTACAACATCGATGGTGAGTCCCCCCCCCCTCCCCTCCCTCCTCCATGACCATGCATGTTGGAAAAAACTAGTTTTGTTTAAATAAAGAACATTGTTTGACTTACGTATTAATATTATTTAATCTGTGGTTTGACTTCAGCTGATGTTTCAATCATTAAGCCTAAGTTAATCGTTATCGAGCAAATAAATTATAACCTGCTAAATATAAAGTAAAACAACTATAGAATTTTATTCACTTAATTGTAATTTTTTATCCAGTAAATAATTTTTATCTGACGTTAGAAATCAGTCTTTATTTGAATAAGTGGTATTATATAACGGTTTTATTTACAAGAAAATGAACATTTTGGCAATCTAAAAACAAATAGGGGAGAAGTGGCATGAAGGAGCCAGGTTTTGAAAGAGCCACTTACATTATTTTGCTAGTTTATGAACGGATTTGATTGGTAATTTTATTTTTAAGTGGCTACATTGATTCCCCGTCACCCACAAACATTCGACAGTCCGCTGAAACCAGCGGACGCCGATACATCGAGTTAAAGTTTTTGGTACTAAAAAGTAAGGAGTTTGCTTCATTTAACTTGTTTTTTGGTATTTTATTATAAAGAGATATCGGTAAATGGATTGTAGATTGAGTTTGTGCATATACTTGGCCTTGCAGCTGCGTAAAAACTGAGCCGCAAAAGTTTTGATATTGTTGTTATTTTTAATGTTATATTTTTTTAAAGAATAAGTTATGAAAGAGCCGGGTGAATGGGCCTTAAAAGAGCTGGCTCTTTCATAACCAGCTCTTTCATAACCCTGCATTTAAATATTGTAAATAAAATAAAAATAATAGTAAATATGCATTTTTTCATATATTATTAAATTATTTGCTTCAGATATTGCATTATAGGGAAGCCTGGTCCAAAAAAAAACGAAAATTGACCAGAAAAATCGGTAATTGAAGAAGCAGTTAGTGAAGTTTTGGAGATACATCAACCAATAAACAAAACTGCACACATCTTTAATATATTGAGGGCACACTTAGCTAAAGTAGTTAAAAAAGTAAAGGCTTCTGGTGAATCAGCTTTTAAACGCTGCCCTAATATAGGAAATAAGCGTATTTTCACAACAGACAAAGAAAATATGTTTGCGGATTATTTAAAGACTGCTTCTAAAACGTGCTATGGCCTAAAAAGGTAACAAACTAAAAAGCTGGCATGTGATTATGCCATGGCTAATTATATCACTCCAGATAAATGGAGGGAAATCATTGCAGCAAATCATGTGAAAACAGTGATCAAGATTGGTTTTAGTGCAAAATTTATTCTGATTGGAATCATGAATCCTACGGCATTAAGGGAAAATGTAATTTCTTTTGAAAGACATATTTCCAACTTTAAGCAAATTACATTATATATTCCAAAGTTCCTAAAAAGTCTGAATCTTAAACTTAAGCAAATAGATAGTAAAGACTTAAAATGACTGATAGAATTAAAAATTTCTTCAAAATGTCACTAGTTTTTAAAAAGGATTTGTTAGTAATGTCTATTTATTTTTTTAATAGTAGAACTACTATTATTTTGCTTAATTTTCACAATTACACTTTATAATACAGACTGACTCTTTCATAACTTTTAGTAGCTCTTTCAATACCGAAATGTTATGAAAGAGCCAAAAGACACATTTTATTTAAATGAATATTTAGTTGATTTTTTCATAGCGTTTAAGGTTTTTTCGTATGCAGTTACCTACTTTAATAAATAAATAATAATTGAAGAAAAAAATATCATTTCTTTCACTAAAAGTATGTTTATTTACTCCGTTTAGTAAACTGGCTCTTTCATGCCACTTCTCCCGTAACTGACTGATTTTAAAAATCAGCGAGAGTGCTTCTATGAACATAACAATAAGGATAAATTGTATGGCGATTAAAGTTTATTGCGAAAATTTGTCGCAAATGAAACAGTGACAGTAGATTATGTTTTTTTTTTTCAAAAATGTATCAACAAATCTGCAGAGAAATAAAATAAATCTTATTACATTAGCATTGATCCCTGTCGCAAACGCCGCCACACGTCACCCATTATGAATGAACTGTTGACTATAATCGTTATCAGCTGAACGCATATACAATCAGAAATAGAGGTGTGCTCAATTTTCAAATATATCTGTAAAGAATTCTTTGAGTTTCTCGTTTCCAATCAATGGGTAATAAAATGTAACTTCAAATTAAAAAAAAAATATTTTAATTGAAATCTTATTAGCTTTCCCGAATTTCTGATTCGCAGTTTTGGCAACACTAGGTGTAGTCTAGCAGTAACATATCAGATAAGGGTTAATCATAAGATAAAATACAATTTCTACAAATTAAAATTACAGTTGCACAAAATGTAATAAAAAATTTCAATTGTTTTACTTAAAGTTCAATACCAGTGGGCCATATGTTGGTTGTTACTTTCATTTTCTGCCGACTTCCAAAAAAGAGACGGTACTCAATTCGACTGTATGTTTTTTTTATGTTTGTTACCTCATAACTTTTTACTGGGTGAACCGATTTTGATGATTCTTTTTTTATTTGAAAGCTGGTACTTCCCATGTAGTCGTTGATCAAGGTCAGACTAATAGTTCTTTAGTTATTCTTAATAACTTATATTGAAATCGGCTGTACAAAATTTTTAATTTTAAATTATAAAAACTGAGTTCCTATAAAGAACAAAAAAAAATAATTCCCTTAACATTGCAGCCTATAAAAGTCGACTGCTGAACACCATAACTCCACCATAATTTGTTTCATAGAGAGGATGTTTGCCATTGATGTCATGCTAGCAGGCGGGTTGGCAACTGCAGTTTATTATTATCCATTTGTTATCAGGACGTTTATATAAGGTATGTATGGTAGATACTCTTACTACAGTGTAAGCATTGTTTTCAGGTGTTCGAGCTGCTGTCCGCGCTATGTGTCTACAATGCTGACGGCTACGCCAGGGCTGTTGACACACTAGATCGATATAAGGTAATTAAAACATTACTACTCACAGCCCTACTTATAATGTTTATTATCGCTTAGTTAACTTAAGTTTTAATTATCTCTATACCACTCTCTTTCTATCGAAATTTAGTAAAGGTGGAAAGAGCAACTTTAAGCATTTCTTAAATTGAAGTTGTATTTTATGAGTCCCAAAATACTTACACACCGGTTTCGTTAGCTATCAGTAAGTGAAGCTGGCTAATTCTGATGATGAGATGACATGTGAGACGCTTTTACAACAAAGTCCCAGAAAATATGCCGGTATATATGATAATAACCTCTGGGAATGAGGTGATCGCTACTTCTAAACTTCTGCTGCTTCTAAATGTTTTCATTTTTAAATGTACAACATATCATAATATCGTAAGTTAATATTTTAAAAAAGAGCGAAAATTCCGCTGGTTCTGCCCCGGACAGAAGTATTTTGCCAAACCAGTTGGAAAATTAAGCATAGTAGTGACTTCCAATAAGTATTATTTATAATCTATATTATAGTAGTTTCTATTTCTATTACTAGGCCAGCTATCAATGCAACAGCTTGCTTCTAGCCTTACCGTTAGCTTTTTGTGATTGACATAAATCTGTGCAATTTAAACATGAGTACTGATCATCATAAACATCATCTACGTCATTATTACAACTCAACTTATGATTCTTGCTGGTTCTTGCCAGGACAGAGGTTTTTACCAAAACAGAGGTAAAAGTAAAAAAAAAATGCTTTTAATAAGTATTATTTATAATCTATATTGAGTAAAAATTGTTATATTCTAATACACTGCGTTGTACTAAAGAAATATTGGTTCGGGTCTATGTCAATGAGATATATATATGTATATACTAATCTTACGCTCACCAGATGGCTCTATTTGCGTCTTGCGAAATTATGTGTTACTTAGATAGTCAACAGTGTCATCATTATGGAAAAATTACGATTTAATTATAAGTTTTTCACATTCTAATATATATACACAAAAGAGTGCCTCTGTGCTGTATTTTTTAATAAATAATTAAACATCTACTTTTCGGAATATTCATAGTTTTTTTTATAGTATAGGGTGACAAACGAGCACACAGTCCACCTGATGGCATTTATCCTCAATAAAGAATCAAAATGCAGATGCGTCGTTACCCGTGAGGACTAAGATGGAATGCCCCTTTTCCAGTAAAATGGGTCTCCGGTTCTCTACACTCACCATACGAAACACAGCAGTGTCAAGCTGCCATTTTACGCTGGTATTCTGTGAGAGCGTGGTCCTTCCCCGGTCGAGCCGACCAATTCGTGCTACAACTATACCACTAATATAGCTGCAGCATGGCTTTACCACGTATAAAACCAAACTATGGGTATTCTTTTCGTAATATCCATAGTTTGGTTTATTTATTCCTAATCTTTTTAGTATAAAATATAACAGATATGTTAGAAACAAACACATTTATATCAAATTAACTGTCTCCGCTATGAAATCTGTGAAATATTTTACTTGATTTTAAGTGGCTGTCCTGGTGGCAGATAAAGTCGTGAATTGACCTGTGACATTAATAAAAAAAATATTTTTATCTTTTGATTTCAAGACATTAAAAGGCGACCGGTACCGGCTTAGCGTGGTGGTAGAAGAGCTGAAGAATGCCACCACGACAGACTACAAGACGGCGCTGGTGGCCTTCATCAACTGCCTCATCATATCTGCACCCAGGCTACCAGACAGGATACGTGTTCGGAATGAGTTTATTGGTGAGTGCGACTACTCCAAGCTAGAATTATATATAAAATAGATACATTACAATTTTGAAAGGGTGATAACACAATACAGCGAGCACACAGTCCATCTGATAAATTTATTATCACACGGCATCCAGTGGCGCTTTTACACCTACATTTATCAAGGATTAAAAACGAAATTGCATATTAATTGTCGCCCTCAGGGGTGACAGGTCAGGTTCTCAGGAGCTAAGATGGAATACCTCGTAACTGTTATTCACCATCGTAATGCATTAGGCTGCATTACGATGGTGTTTTGTGAGAGCGAACTGATCCAATGATAATTTGAAAAATACACTGATATAAGTCTCTGATGAACATTATTTTACTACGTTTTTATTAAGTCACTTTCTTGTTTGTCTGTCGTTCCGGGTGGAATCTTGCAACTCAAATTTCGAGCACTTGCCGATTAGCTAGAAACTTGAAATTTTGAACATAGCTCAAAAACGTGGTATATTAAACGTTTTTAGTACAAAATTAACAAAAATAACTTGGTATTTACTGAAAGAACCATAAATTTATTTCTCTTTTGTTTCAGGTCTCGGTTTACTACCAACATTAAGCAACTTAAGGTGAGTTACCCTAACGTTACCATAATCATACAATTTGTTTTCCGCGTTACTGTCCACTATTACTTCATATCATTACATTAAATCAATGAGTCATGTAAATAAGTAGGTGGGTAAGTTATTAAGACGGAATTTCTGCCTTAAAGTCTCGAGTACCAATATCTTAACTATTTTTTGGAATCTAGCAGTATTGCCGCGTTCCGATCTCAAGTAGTCCAAATCTAGGAGTCCGTCAGGGTAGGTACCATTCTTTTCCTCTATTTTTAGCCGGCTGCTCCAGAAGGATGTATGTATGTATGTCTATTTATTTGGCGCACTCAGTAGCATAAACAGCTTGATGGATTTTAACATATGATGTGAATGAATGTCATTACATTCATATTAATTGCGAGAGTGGCAATAAATTATTCTTTTTTCAGTAAACTTTTACGGGATCGGGTTTTTTTTTAATCACTGTTTAAAGGTTTTAACCTTTAATCTTTTTTAAGCTCAGTACACACATTGTAGTGTTTTGATTTTAAAAGCTACAGTTGCACACTGCCAACGGATCCGCTATCTTCATAAAAGTTACATAAAAGTTCCGATACATTCTGCCTTATCGAGGCGTGCTAATTTTGACTAAATAGCTAAGTTGTAATACATTTTCTATACAATAATTATTGAAAAATTTTAGTTTACTAATATAAATAAAAATGTCCAATTGATAATAAAATAAATGTCAAAAAAAAATAATTACGAGAAACAATGTCACACAATCGTTCACAAAAATGTCACAATATAAATGTTGTGTAAATGTTTTTCAAGTGTATGCATGTATGTAGGTCTATTTCTTAGGCACGCTCTATAGCCTAAATGGTTTAATGGATTTTGATATATGACATGTGGTTAGATTCGTCTTAGTGATGAAAGTGACTTAGGTATAATATTTGAATTTACCTCTTTTCGGTAGACTTTTTATTTTTACACTGTTGGTTTTTTTAATTACCGTTTTAACGTGTCATTTAATGTAGATAATAATGTTTCTTAATATACACATAAAGTTTTAAACTGCAACTTTTATCTGCTCTTACACTGAATTATGAATTCATTCTTAGTATCTCTAACTCTTAATGTGGTACACGGGCCTGCATAATGGACCGATAGTGGAGAATTCCAAATCCCAAAGCATAAAAAACGACCGTATTATGGTATTAAATTACAAAGGCTGATCGGTGGAATTTGTCACGTGGATAGCATAAAAACTCAATATGACACACAGACGACTATAGTTTTATAAATTTTTTTTTTAATCGCAGATGTGCGCTTTTTATACAATATACAAGTTAGGATGACAAATGAGCATAGCCCACCTGATGTTAGGTAGACGCTGTGCCTTATAAGCACCTCTATCTAACTTCGAATAAGAGTAAAAATGCAGATGCGTTATAACCCCTAAAGGCTTAAATAAATGTCACATTTTTTGTTACAAACAAACTTACGGTTTACCCAATGGTAAGTGGCTACATGCGTACGGTCAACTTTAAACAAAGATGGCTACAGATGCTTTGTCACCTCTGACTAACACATAGCCTGTAATTATACTGGCTCTCTATACCCGTCGGATTTTGGCGGGAAATTGACCGGCGGCGGTTTGCTGCTCCTGTATTATTGTTAAAATAATCGGTTGAAGTGGATTTTGATATGTAAAAGTGATGCGATTTCGTGTATTAACTGTCTGCACATGTGAACTATTAGTAAAACGGTAAAACAAGTACTCTGATGGTGATATGATTCTCCAGATAACTTGTCTATCTGCTCAGGCTCCTTGAGATACCATCGCCAACTGTCAGATGTCTGCTGGCTCAAGTTGCCGTCAAAATCTCCTAAGGGCTGCACAATGTTACACATCAAAGTATTGTGAAGCAGTGTACTGTGAAAGATAATTATACATAGTAACTTCAGGCTCAGTATGGCTAGAACCCAAAGCCGTAAAGCCAGTTATAAAAAAAATTCTACCCTTCAAAAAAGAACACAGCAGTGCAAGCATTGATGTTTGGCTGCGGAAATAGATAAGACGGTGGTATCTACCTATCCGGTTTACTAGGTAGAAAAAAAACAGAGGCAGCCATAAGGACTGCCGACAGAAGTGAAAACTCAATGATATATGCGTATAAATGTGCACAGGCCGCTATACTACGCGTCTGGCATGTGTCAGACTATGTATGCGTAGTAGACATGCTCGTAATAAGTCGCTATTAGAAGAATGACATGCTCGTGACGTATTAAAATAGCATGTCGAGGTCATCGTTGACGTGAACCTATAATGTTTTCCCCTACCAAAAATCGTTCAACGAGACTAAAGAAGTTTTCACTTTAACATTCGACGTTTGTAACTCAATCACGCATGAACTACTGAAAGCTTTAACGCACAAATAAACCATGTTCTGAAATGATACATTGAATACTACTCACCGTTACTGCCAATTAAAGTTCACAGCTGAACATAATCCCCTCCCACAGATTGCCTCATAAGGGAGATATATCATAATTGTCACGCTTGGCAAGCAGGTTGCCAACCGCAGCCTTTTTTTAGTCGTTATTAGCAAGACGCTGCTGTCTATCTCCTGATTTGTTTTCCTCTGTCGCCTCTTACGACACCCACGGGATTATATGGGGTAGTGGATATTCTTACACCGCTACTGCACGTTAAGTGAGTACTATTTACCAAGGGAAGATAAGTGAAGACGGGAAAATAAACTTGAAGGCGTATCTGTGTCCGCGCTGAGAAACCGCGGGCAGAGTTTACTCATAAGGAATTTAATCTACCTGCTTAGAATGATGCTTTTGTCTCTGTGACAACACAGCAAATTGAACCGGACCGCTCTGATTAAATTTATGAGCCGTAGCTTTAACGGATCTTATATTTAATTATGAACCAGTTCTTATTTTCTTGAATACAAAATGGAGCGAGCTGAGTGGTATTTACTCGATCGTGTGTTGTTGTACTTACTTACTTACATACCATAGATATAATAAAAGACCTACTTCTTTTTTAACTATTTTATGCGTTTTAACAGCAGTTCAACATCTTTTTAAAGTATATGAAGGAACACCTTATTTCTCTACGTGTGTGTATTTGTGAATTCACACAAAGTCACAGAAAGTGAATTTTAGACTTCTTTACTTGAAGTTATCAGCAAGTATCCATGGGCTACAGTAGGCACTCGTCAATCAGAAAGATCGAAAGAAGAAACGTGTTTATTGATTGCTGCAACTTACATTTACAAAATATTACTGTTACAAAAAAAAACTTAATAACAAAATACTTTAAAAAAATTGGATTTCTGCAACAAAAAGGCCACCGACTCAGCATGCAACCAGAGTTACCGCAGCGACAATAGCGACTTACGGCCGGTCTCAATAACCCATCTATCCTTTACTGGAAGTTAAATTGTCTACCATTGGTAACTATAGTTACATTTTTCCGTTTCAATAATCAAAGTTAGATAGAAATATTTAACCTTCACTTTGAACTACCGTTCGAAGTTCTTAAAACATAATTTAGTACATATTCTATAATAATCACTGAGTACACATGCAAAATTTACATTAAATATAATAGTTATAATTATTAGCTAACTCTCTAAATCAAGTGACCCTTAGAAAAGACAAAATAAAAAGGCAAAATAATTTAAAATGTTTGACCCATTTTTCATCATCATCATCATCATCATCGTCGTCTTACATACATCATACGACATGGGTCTCTCCCATAGATTACCACAATACTCGGTCCTACGCTACCTGCATCCATCAGCTCTACAACAGAAAAAAATGAAAAGTACTTTTATTTTTCTCAAAAGCTCCACTTAATTAAATGCTTATGGTTCAAGAGGCTGCCCGTAATTTTATCCCATCTGCAATTTGCATTACACGCATCGTAATCATTTATATCCATATGTTCTTTTTCCTTTGGTAATGAACTCGTATGGTTGCACTTTTGCCAGTGTCAAATATTTAGAAATTGTCCTATAAGATAATTTGTTTAAAAACTTCTTCACAATATGATGATATGTCACATTGCGAGGGTTTTGGGAGATTTTGGCGGCAGCTTGAGGCAGCAGACAGTTGATGACGATAGTATATCAAGGCTCCAAAGCAGACTCAGTAACTTGAGGTTCCAATCACCATCAGAGCAGTTGTTTCATCGTTTCCACTAATAGTTCACTTGCGTAACATTTAATACACAAAATTGCACCACTATAGTATCAACATTCACTTCAAATCATTATTTAAACGATAATACAGGAGCAGCAGTCTACTGGCGATCAAGTTGCCGCCAAAACTCTTTCCTATATTTTACAAATATAATTTTTATTAACTTTCATAAATAACAATTTCTAATGACTTTGAAGCTACAATACAAACTTTTTTTGGAAAACGTGTTTTGTTTCGTGTGCACCAAGCGCAGTTCTAAAACGACAAATGCGTCGGAGTGTGTGGGCGCATCCGTGCGCGCCATATATGGCAACGCATCGGTGACGTCAACGAATAATATCGTACTAAAATATTATGTTTTGGTAGACATTTATGTAATATTAATATTTTGAAACTTTTTTTAATATTTGCGTGGGCAATAAAAACGATAAGAGAAAGTTAGAAACAAAATTGGTTTAAAATTGTTTTAATTTATATACATTGATTTGCCGTTGGTGGTTTGACCATGGGGTCTTACGTAAACATTCTCGCAGCCCTACCGATTTGCGTCGTAGGTTGAACACTCACACACGCAAAATATTATCCAAATTAGAGCACAGATAAGAAATAAAATTGTTGTCAGAAGTCAGTACAAGGTCTGTGCTGCGTAAAATAATCAATCATTTCCATTAATCATCCACATTTCGTCCCGTGGGTGTCCGTAAGAGGACTTATAACTTTGAATAGATGGAGGTATCGGTTTACTATCGTTTGCGACAGATGTATATCCCAGACCAGCGTTAGGAACTGTGCCACACGGCTGGAAGATACGATACATGATTTTAATCATATTTCTTTTTACTTTTCAAAGGCTCTTAACTTTGAGAACCCTATCGCCTGGGCTAGGCCTTATTTATAGAATAAGGGTGACAAACGAGCACTTTTAACCTGATGGTAAGTGTATGCTGTACCCAATTGACATCTCTCGTCATCACCATCATCGTACAGCCCTTCAGAAGTCCACTGCTAAACATAGAGCTCCCCCAAGGAATGCCACAAAGCACGGTCCTGAACCACTTACATCCATCGACTTCCTGCAGATCTTACCAGTTCGTCACTCCATCTAGTGGGGAGACGCCCTACACTTCGTCCGAGGCCCCCACTCGAGAACTTTCTCCCCATCAGTTGTCAGTTCTTCGAGCTATATGGCTGGCCGATTGCCACTTCAGCTTACTAATCCATCGGGCTATGTCGGTCACTATGGTGCTACTGCGGATATCCTCATTTCTAAGTTTATCACGCAGAGAAACTCCGAGCATAGCCCTCTCCATAGCTCGCTGAGCGACCTTGAGCTTCCTTATCTGGCCAGCAGTGAAGGACCACATCTCAGTTCCATATATCATCACTGACAACATGCACTGGTTGTACAGTCTCGTTTTCAAGTTTTGAGGTATACCTGACGAGAAGATGTGCCGTGATTTCACGGACGCTGCCCAACCGAGTTGAATCCGTCGATTGACCTCTCAGTCGAAGTTGGACTTACCTAGTCAGATTATTAGTCCCAGGTAAACATTCTCGTCAACAACTTCGAGCTTAGTGCTCCCAACAACTACCAGCATTGGTGTGACATGGACGTTATACATGATCTTTGTTTTGTCCATGTTCATCTTAAGACCTATCCGTTGGGAGGCACTATTAAGGTCATTGAGTATAGTGCTTATGTCCTCCAGCAATTCTGCCATAAGGACTATATCGTCGGCAAATCGAAGGTGAGTGATGTACTCGCCGTTGATGTTAATACTGTATCCTTTCTAGTCCAGAAGCTTGAAAACGTCTCCTAATGCAACGGTGAAGGGTTTAGGGAATATAACGTCACCCTATCTTACACCTCTCTGCAGTTGAATAGGATTCGTATTCTGGACCACTCGGTATATCGCCAAATCCACTTCCCCCAAGCAGCGATTCTCTGTTTCAGGTCCTCTATGCGCTCCGTCAGTTTTTGCGTTATACCCGGCGGGAACAAACTGATATTTGTCACAGCAAACGCCAACCGGCCGTTGCGCACAATTCACGGCCTATTATTGCCCGACCTGAAGCTTATCAGTCTTCCGATCCCTTGCCTTTGCCCTTATTATTATTATTATAAGCAGCGGCTATGAACGATATACTCGGACAGCTATCGTAAGCCCTATTGTACAAACACTTCAGCACTTCGATATACCGACAGTCACAAATTTCGACGGAATCAAAGGCTTTCTCATAGTCTACATATGCCAGACAAAGTGACAAAATAATACTCCTTGGACTTCTGTACAATTTCCCGAAGGGTATGTACGTAGTCTATGGTGCTTAAGCCTTTTTGTAAACCGGCTTGTTCGGGAGGCTGAAAGTCGTCGAGTCTGCATGCGAGACGATTCGCAATGACTCTCTAAAACAGCACGTAGAAGCGGCTCAGAAGGGAAATCGGTCTGTAGTTCTTCAAGAGAGCGTTGTCGCCTTTCTTGAAGAACAAGACCACCGCACTTCTGCTCTACGCCTCCGGTGTAGTACCACCATGGAGGACGGAAAGAGAAGAGAAAAGAGCTTCTGAAGGACTTCAAATAACGGTTTTCCATCCGCTTTCAGAAGCTCCGCTGTAATTCCATCCTCGCCTGGGGCCTTGCCGTTTTTAAGATGCTGGAGCCCATTCTAATCTCGCTCAGACTGACGTCCGGAATATCATCGGAATAGTATCGGATAAGACTAGCTCTTGGATCGTTACTCACACTTACGTATGGCTTTGTGTGTACAGCTGCCCATAGAACCTCTCAATCTCACTCAAAATCTCAGGTATCCCGGAAACGATGCTGCCATACTCGGTCTTCAGCTTCGACAGTTGGCTCTTCTTGTCAGACAGATCTCTAGCAAAAGCTTTGAAGCCCTGGTTCCGCTCGATCGCTTCCCCGCATGCATTTGGAGATCTATCTGTTCAGTTGCCTGTATGCTGTCAAATCTGCTGAAGATTGCAGATTTATTTCTCATCTAACAGCCATGAGATTAAGAGCGTGATCGGAGGGTTTTTCTATCAGACATCTCTATCTGCCTTTTATTAAAAATTAAAATGCAGATGCTTTGTCAGGTGTAAAAAGATCTCCAGATCCCCAACTCACAATACGAAACACAGAAGCATAAAACTGCTATTTTACGTTATTTTGTAAGAGTGTGGTCCCGGTAGAGTCTACATATTATGCTACAACCATAACATAGCTGCAACAGAGCTCTACCACGTAGATCTAAGACGACCCTCTGTGAACTGATGCTTGTCTGTAGAAAGGGATAAATAAAGTGGTACCTACAAAGACGGAAAATATAGCAGAAAATAGCTGCCAACTGGTCTATAATTTTGATTTACAAATAATTTACAACATCGCACAGTGTGTACCCAACCTAAGTGCAGTGGGCGATGCTAAATTACTAAATGACAGCACTGGTTCGGATTACTAAATTGTCTCAGGCAGCCGTTCTTAGCGCACTGAACGCCTAATAAATTTGTCATCAGAATGATAACCCGCTATAATGTTGTTTACTTATATCTCTATTTGCAGACATGAAGCTGCCAGCCATCCAGACCTGGGCGTGCAGCTTGACGTGTTTGAAGAGCAGAGGGAAAGCGACGAAGCCCAAGGTCCTGGAGGAATCAATCTCAATTCACATCTCGATGTGTTCTACGCTATTCTTAAACAGGTAAGCATATTAAAGATTTGCTATAGATCTTTTTATATATGTGAGGGAGCAAACGAGCATGCGGCTCACCTAATAGTAAATGACTACCGTCGCCCGTGAATGGGCAATGCGATCGGCAAGGAATTCTTTCACCGCGAAATTATTACCAGCCTTTTCCAAATATTTCGTGAATCTTTTATTAATGGGTTATTGCGAAAATAGTGTTATAAATTATGGATCCATTGAGTAAATTTCGTGTTGTACTTTTAATATAAACATATAAATGAATTGAACAGGTTGCAGACACACCTCAAGAAATACCCTTCCTGAGCATCCTTCAGCATTTGCTCAAACTAGACCCCAAAGAACCGGTCAGTGACATAATTTGGGATACAGCCGAGACGCTGGTCCACCGAGCGACGTTACTAGAGAGCAGAGAAGACGCTGCCAAGTTGCTAAGAGCCCCAAGTGTTCAAGTAAGTAGTAACACTGTTTTTTTTTTTAATAAGTAAGAGTGACAACTGACCATACAGTTCTTGTGCTATGTTCGAATGCTATGGCCCATAGAAATCTACATCTATCCGCGATAAAGAAACAAAACGCAATTGTGTTGTCACCCTGCGGACTAAGATGGAACCCCTCGATACCACCATACGAAACACAGCATCATTGTACTTCTATTTCACGCTGTTATACCTACTCTACGAGCGTGGTCATTCCTGGCCGCGCCGATCCATTCACGCTGCAGCTATAATACGCTGCAGTATAACTTTACCACGTACAAAATATTTCAAAATACATGTTTATTATTCATAAATTACTACATATTGTATTTGGGAAGAACTAATCTGAGATAAACGCGAAATATCGATAATATTTGAAACTTTTAAATACGGGAGGTCGTTTTTAACAGATTTATTGAGATCTTAAATTTAGAAAACGCGGCGAACTCTTCATCTATTCAAACAATTTCAGAAGTAAATGGATGCCATTGTCTACGCTCACTAATGGGACAAACGTCTACATCAGCTTAAGTCATCTTTTAGAACCGTTTCTAATGTTAAACTGTGTACAAACTACAAACCTTTATAATACAATTATTAAATTACAATACTATCTCAAACATGGCTATCCATGTTGGAGATAGTCCTGTAGTTTCAGATCATCTGGGGGCACGGCAGTGCTCCCGCCAAGTCGAGCAATAAAGCGGCACGGCCGTACCATCCCTTTCTCAAAGCAGTTCAGGCCATTTTCGACCCCCTATAACTTCGTTGTGGATAGGAAAACAGCCTGAATTTTCAGTAACCAAGCATGTATTTTATAAACACGGTATATTTCAAATTTCATTCAATTTGACCCAGTAGTTTAAGAATTATAACTAGTCAAAATTCCTTAATTTTGTCACTCACTTACTGACTGACCGATCATCAAAACTCTAAGGCACTTCTAGCAGACGTAGATGCTTCAAATTTAGAATACAATTTGTATTTAGTGTACACTAAACAATCTAATTTAATATAATATGTATTACTTGCGGCCAAGTCAACCTATTTATTTAAAACAAAAGGTTTTAATATTGATATGGTCACTATAAAATGTTGTTAGGTTACCTAATTACGTAATAACATGAGACAGAAAGACCCTTAAGTAGACGGTAGAAGAACTGAGTTGCGAGACTTGGTTTTTTTTACAAGTTATGGTTTGATGGCATACTACTTTCTTCTGTCATTTGTGCACTGTTACACATAAGTAGAATTGATAGACGTTGCACAGTGGAGAGTTTCCTATCTAATAACAGTGATGGGCCATTTAATTCATCATCATCACTATTTTAAATCTACTTCTGCACTCAGCTCAAGGTCGCTCAACGAGTTAAAGATGGCAACGACTAAAGGGCTATGCTCGGGATTTCTCTGCGAGATAAACTTAGAGATAGGTTTTCGAGTGGCAAACTCATGCAAATGTAGGACAGCCCGCCAGTACATGGAGTGACGACTTAGTAAGGTATCCAGAAAGTTGATTAATGCAGATGGCTCAGGACCGTGCTTTGTGGCATTCCTTGGGAGAGGCCTATATTCAACAGTGGGCCTGATGATGATGATGATGACTGCACTTGTTCACCTTTCCGAAATTGTGCTTGAGGGTTTCTTGAGAGATTGACCTCCACCATGCTAAACATCAAATCATTGAGCACAGAGACAACATCCTCGCCGCTTTCCATATGCTTTCATCACCAGATTGTAAAATTGTGGTTTAACATTTTAAATGGAGTTTTAGGCATCACTCTGTCGCCAATAGTAATATAAAGTAATCTTTTTTTAGAATAAGGTTGACAAACGAGCACACAGTTCACCACATGGTAAGTGGATGTAGTGGCCTATAGATACCAACATTCATCCTCGATTAAATATCAAATAGCCGATTTATTGTTACGCCTGAAGACTGAGCTTCTAACTGTTTACCAATAAAGAGTAAAAACTCATATTATGTTCCCCTTTATTTGTCCCCCATGATTGTCGACAGACATTTAATAAACTGTTTATTTGATCCAGGCGAAAGTAGGATGCATGTGCCAGCACAGGGATACGTCGGGAGCGGCCAGGAAACAAAGCTTGCAGAGAGCCCTGTCGCCGCCCCCACCACCGCCGCCGGCTCCAGCACCCCCACCTCCTGCAGGTTCGTTAAAAGTTTTATTCTTTCCTTTTTACCCCCACCATATAACGGGGCGTCTTACACATGAGGACACTGCTATGACATAACAACAACTCTTTGGTAAAATTAAATATAATGGCGGCGTAGTAAAAGAATCCACGAAGTACCCCCATTTTATCCCGCGGATTTCAGAACAAGCGACTATGGGATTTGCCAGAAAATTCCTGTAGCTTCTGATATATGCTGGTATAATTATCTCACTTAATTGCCTTAATAGAAGAGGAACTTTTAAAAGCCCATAAATGCCTCCCCCCCCCTACAGGTTATCTCATAGGGATCTGCCATAGTGGCCACGCTTGGCAGTTGGGTTAACAATCGCAGTTTTCATTATTGTATTGTATTGTATACTGGATTACCTACACTTCAAATCGAGTAGGTTCACTGTTGCAGTGAATTTGTGATGGACCGTAGTGATAGTAGTTTGCGACGGTTTTTTCTTTTATAGTATAATGGTGACAAACGACCACACAATCCACCTGATGGTAAGTGGATACTGAGGTCCATATACAAGTAGATATATGTTCGATTAAGTACCAAAATGTTTATAAAAAAAAATAATTTTTTTATAGTAGCCGCAGCTCCCCCCGCACCACCCGCGCCGCCCCCGCTTGCGCCACGCGGGCCGCCTCCACCGCCCCCTCCAGCGGGCCCCGCGCCACCCGCACCGCCCGCTCCCACGCCTGCGCCCGCCCCTCTCGAACGTCTGCCCCAGCAAGAAATCCCCACACCCAAGACCAAGATGAAAACCATTAACTGGAACAAAATACCCAACAACAAAGTAAATACTTTCAACATTTACACACATTGCATTGTCATCAAATTTTAACACAATGTTGCATTCGAATACGCGCATTTTTAATAAAACCATTTTAGAAAACATCGCCATCTGTTGGACGTCAAGAAATGTTTCTTCCTTTCCTATTGACTCCAACTTTGTATATAATATGGCCTAGGACTCGTCAGGTACACTAAACACTAATCTATATTGTCGTAGTGCTTTTCTATATATAAGTTTACAATTATTTGTACAATTATTATAAAAATGTCTTTACCATAGAGCTAAATGTTACGAGTATGTCTAATGTTCTAAGTGTAAGTATACATATGTGTAGGTATTATATAAAAATATACTTTTTAACATTTATACATCTGTTAGCTAGGTTAGTCTCAGTGTATGCGTATGTTATCTATGTACGTTAGCACTACTCTCTAACTCGTCGTAACTCTTAATTGAGAGAGAAGTCACAAAGCTCCAACTGAAAACCAGCGCTGCCTTTGCAGTATTATGCTGGGTTGGAAATATCACGTTTTAATTTTTTTTCACAGTATTATTAAGTAACTATTCCCGTGACTTATTCCCGCGTGAAATTTTTAACGATTAGATTTCATTGGTTTTAACGTTTTTTTTTTTGCGCGAAACCCTAATTCTTTTCTAAACTACTCCTTATAATATCAGCTATCTGCCAGTGAAAGTCCCGGCAAAATCGGTCCAGCCGTTTCGGAGATTAGCCGGAACAAACAGACAGACAGACAAAAATTTTAAAAATTGTGTTTTTGTTATAATTACCGTATGGACTTTCATATGCGTTTAATAAAAATCTGTTATTTTGACATTACAAATAGTACTTGTATAGATGTATAGATTAATGATGTGCATGGTATTGCATCTTAATTATTAATGCGTAAGCAGTCTAAAGAGTGATACGTGCATGTTATTGCCCCTTTGCGTTTGTATATTTCTTTGTTTAAAATGTGTGTGTCCAATAAATAGTTCTTTTTGTCTTTCTTTCTTTTTTCAATTATCAAATATTAATCGCAGGTAATTGGACAAAACAACATTTGGGCAATAGTCGCCTCGAGTCACAAACACTCACCCAAAGCGGAGCTGGATTGGGGCGAAATCGAAGGATTATTTTGCCAACAGGTAATGTTTTCTTAAAAAAGTTGTCACCATGAATTTGTTGTTGTTTTTTTTTATTATTGTATAAGCAACGTTTATGCGTGATAGAGTCACGTTGCAGATATATTATGGTTGTAGCACGAATGGGTCGGTTCAACATGGGCACGACTACTCTCTCACAGAAAACCAGCCTGAAATAGCAGCTTTATACTGCGGCTTGTCGTGGTGATCGTTAGACAATGTAGAGAACTGGAGACAGTTTTTACTGGAAACAAGGCATTCCGTCGTAGTCTTCCGGGGTGATGACGCGTTCTGCAATTTGAGTCTTTATCAATGATATATGTAGATGTCTATAAGTCACAGCATCCACTTACCATCAGGTAGATTGGATGCTCATTTACCTATAATCTATAAGAAAAACAGGCATGTTTTCTTTACAAGAAATGATAAATGTATGTGATTGTTTATCAAAGTACAACATTACTCTTAAGCGATCGACCGCAAAGTATAGGTGACCCTAGGACGAGAAAGGTACTGGCTTCCTTCTCCCTAGTATTAGAAGTCCGTCTGTGTTAGCGCCATCCTCTTACCTGTTTCTGCCACAAAACATAAGTGTACTCCTTGCTGTGTTCCGCTATGAAAGGTCAAAAAGCAAGAAGAAGAACAGACATTCAAACAGACGAACAAGAAAACAGAGAGTTAATAAAAACATGTCTTCTCTCGGTAGAAGATCAATCAAAGGATCACGTCTTTAATTATATACAAGTTTTTCTTTATTTACAAGTTTTTTCCCAAATAACACCATTGTATACAAGTTTTTCTCATATAACACCACTAACTTCAGTCAAGAATGATAATCCAAAATTGTTTCCAGGCTTATTTTACTTTAAGTAAGTACTTTAAGTAAGTACTTTGTGAATTGTTTGACAGATTTAAAAGAGAACGAAAGTGGGTTGAGAATAAATAAGTTACTCGTCAAATGTTTTGTCTATGCTGATGACCAAGTATTACTTATGTCTTCGGCCGAAGAGTTGCAGGAGATGGTGACTGCTATGAGTGGAGCTTTTGTTAGAAAGGGAATGAAGATGAATGTAAGGAAGACGAAAATGATGGTGTTTGAAAGAGATGAGGCAGTGACAGACTGCAATATCGTGATTGGAGATGAACAAATTGAACAGGTGAAAGAGTTTGTGTATCTGGGTTCAAAGTTTACAAGAGATGGAAAGTGTGAGAGTGATATCGAAAGAAGAGTGAATGCAGGAAACATGGTGAATGGAGCTTTGCACTCATTTATGAGCAGTCGGAAGGTGACTAATAAGGCTCATTTGGCTGTGCATGAGGGGGTGTTGGTTCCGACACTCATGTACGGAAGTGAAACTTGGGTATGGCAGAAGAAACATGAAAGCAGAATAAATGCAGTTGAGATGAGAGCGTTAAGAAGTATGATAGGAGTTAAACTGAACAGGATAAGAAATAGTGAGATAAGAAACCGTTGTGGTCTGAAAGAAGATGTAGTGACAAAAATTGAGAAAGGTATGCTTAGATGGTTTGGCCATGTCGAGAGAATGAATGAAGAACGATTGACGAAAAAAGTGTATAAGGCGAGTGGGAATGAAAGTGTTGGAAGGTGTAGACCTATGCGGACGTTTCTAGACCAAACCAGGGACGTCTTGAAAAAAGGCCAGGTCAAGAGCACCCTAAACCGTAGAGCATGTATGAAGAGAATAATGAAAGTGGACGAAGCGAAACAAGTATGTAAGGATCGTAGCAAGTGGAAATAAGTGGTCTCTGCCTACCCCTACGGGAAAGAGGCGTGATTATATGTATGTATGTATGTATGTAAGTAATAAAAGAGGTCTAATTTTTATCTTTCTCTTATAGGTTCAGCCCACTGGCTCAGCTGGATCATCTCCTAGATTAGGCCGCAGTCCCATTTGCGATAGCTCCGGTGAAAGAAAGCCTAGAAAAGAGGCTTCTGAAATAACACTTCTGGATGGCAAAAGGAGTTTGAACGTCAATATATTCTTAAAGCAGTTTCGAAGGTAAATTTTGTGTCAAGTCGTAGAACATTCGAAAAAGATAAATCAATCACTATTAATTGTAGATTGTAAAATTAAAAAACTACTTTACGTAACTTCTTCAAAAAAACATAAAACTAACCATGCCATTATAACACCACTAATATATGGTAGCTCAAGAGCCGTGGTAGCTCAGATGGTTAGCGCTCGCTGTAAGCTTCACAGTACTCGAGCAACCCGGGTTCGAACCCCGCCGGCACTAATGAAATTGTTAATTGCAATTTTAAGTGCTGATTTACCACGTGCTCGGCGGTGAAGGAAAACATCGTGAGGAAACCTGCGTGTCTGAGAAATAAGAAAAAAAATATTTCGGATACATGTGAAGTTCGCCAACACGCATTGGGGCAGCGCGGCGGACATTTCCTTGCCCTAAAACCCTCTCAGAAATGAGAGGAGGCCTGTACCCAGCAGTGGGACGTAAGTAGGCTGGAACTTTACTTACTTTTACTTTAATATATGGTAGAGCCACTCTGCAACTATTATATTGTTGTAGCACAAATGGGTCGGCTCGACCAGCTGCTGTGTTTTGTATGGTGAGTGCAGAGAACCGAAGACCCTTTTTAACGCATTTGCATTTAATTCGTAATCAAGGAGTAGATGTATGTAGATGTCTATGGGCCACAGAATCCACTTACCATCAGGTGCACTTTGTGCTCGTTTGTCAATCTTATACTATAAGAAACTCATATTAACCACTACGAATAAGTTTATAATGCGTATGCAAGACTAACCAGTCCTGCATAAGCATTTCAAGCGATTTTAGTACTATTGTGAACCCACAATAGTACTAAAATCGCAGTTTCGAACCCCAGTTTCAAGTGTCATTAAAAATGGGTAATTAAATATATTATAACAAATAAAAAATTTGTCGCTTGCAGTTCAAACGAAGATATCATTCAGCTCATTCGAGAGGGTTCGCACGACGACATCGGCACTGAAAAATTGAGAGGCCTCCTGAAAATCCTACCAGAAATAGATGAATGCGAGATGCTCAAAGCGTTTACAGGAGACGTTATGAAATTAGGGAACGCCGAGAAATTCCTTCTGCAGTTAATACAGTTACCGAAGTAAGTGGTATACTTGTTCTTTTCAATATTCCTCGTCGTGTATTCAGTAGACCATGATAATAATGGATAATAATCTTTTGCTCACAAGATGTCGCTAGTTGGGACTAAGGTGATGTTATTTGTCACATAATCCAAAATTTGTGTTTCATATCAAAATATTTCTCGATTTCTAATGAATCTATGAACATACATACACTAAACCATGCCGTAGTGGTGTGCTTTTTAATTATAAAACATATTTGATAAATATTTTATTATACTTATACTTCTAGAAAATTCATATTTTGGTTTGTCCAATATAAATTATTATTTACTCTTTTCTAACAATTTTACTTTCCCGCCATAAAATCTGTCAAATATTACATCTCTTTCCAAAATAGCGCCGCCCCGGCGGTGAGACAAGTTGTGGAAGTCCGCACAATAAATGATAACCTACTTTGAATTATGCTGTTGTTTTCGAAAAATGTTATAATTATTATATAAACATTACGTAAAATATGTTCTTACATATTTTCAGTTACAAACTGCGCATAGAGTGCATGCTCTTGAAAGAAGAGTGGCCATCTACGGCAGGTTATTTGGAGAGTGCCATAAATGCTATTCTAGTCGCTGGAGACGATCTGATGTCTTCAAGAGCTATACAGGTAATATTTTTAAATAAATAACTTAATTTTATTGATTAGATTAAGGTTATGTCACACCTATATCGGTAGCTGTATCTAGAGAACACAAGCTTGAAGTTGTTAAGGAGTATGTTACCTTTTATCTAGAACAAATTTTTCGACTAGGCAAGTCCCGTTAATACAGACTGACCTAGTCGACGGATTCAATTTGGTTGGGCAATTTTCGAGAGATTGCGTCACATCTTTTCGTCATGTATACCTCAAAATTTGAAAACAAGAGTGTAAAACTGAGATATGTGTTTCTTCGGCGTATAAGCTTAAAGTTGCTCAGCAAGCTACGAAGAACGTATGGGCTCAGGTTCTACCGCGGATATCTTCAGGATTCTATTACGCAGAGACTCTCCGAGTCTAGTCTTTTCCACATATGCAAAGACATTCCTTGAAGGAGGCTTTTCATTAACAGTGGACTCGCTAGAGACTGCAATGATTACTGATAAATAATCTACACAGCCTAATATTTATTTAATTTATAACCTGATTAGTTTTGTCTTTTATTTGTCACTAGCTGATACCCGTGACTTTGTCCGCGTTGCTTGATATATTAACAAAGAAAACACACATCACTGAACAAGTAGTGCTTATAAAAATCGTCATTTGTCAAAACTTTAATAACTTTATATTATATGAAGGTGTCGCAATATTTTTTTTTTGATAAGGCTCTAAGTATTATCTAAGAAATAATACTTAGAAAACCTAATTGAAATCTAGCCTGTAGTTTTTCCGTGATGCGCGCACAACTGCAAACATCTATCATTTTGTTTATATAGACTAGAATTCGTTTGGAATTCGAAATTTAAGCGATAGCAGCCTAATGGTAGAATTTAGACTCAGAAAATTGTGGTTTCGAATCCGCCATTTGTTTACTGTGATGAACCACTCTTAGCACGAACATTTTAAATATTATAATGATTTCTTATATTTACGCAAATACTATACAATAAAATGAAACAAATTTTACGGGTTTAACGGACCATAACTCTCGTGAACCTCTCTATCTAAACATTAATATGCATTGATAGTTTAATTTAAACATTTTAATTACGGATTTTTGGGATTCTTTACATCACCCATGGTCACGGGGTGAATTGAGGTGTTCAAAGTTTCGAGGTTAGTTAGCCCGGCTACCTTTAGTTTTTGAATATTAATTTTTGGTCCTGCATAGATCGGAGATCGGTCACCTCCATGACCCATGGTCAAAAGCACCCTGTAAAGTACCCTAAACGTCGGGAATTAAAAAGTTAGAATTAAAAGTGATTAAATCCGTAAAATTGGTTTCTTTTAAAGCATTTTAAAAATTGCTTAGAGAGTTTAACGGAAGTTATGGTGATAGTAATATAATAAAAAGAAAAATCGTTGAAGGAACAACAAAAGTTAATATAGAGTGTTGATTGATCCCATGATTGGTTGCAGGAGATCCTGTACCTGGCGCTGATCGCGGGCAACTTCCTGAACGCGGGCGGGTACGCGGGGGGCGCGGCGGGGGTGCGGCTGGGCTCGCTGCAGAAGCTGCCCGACATCCGCGCCAACCGGCCCGGCATGAACCTCATGCACTACCTCGCCATGGTACTCACAACCTTATTATCTCTCTCTCTCTCTCTCCCTCTCTCCCTCTCTTTCTGTCTCTCTCCGATCTTTTTAAAACTGAAGGGACAAGCGAACTTACAGTGCACCTGATGGTAAGTAAGTGGCTACTGCAGCCCATGGACACCTCTAAGTATAGTTAAGTTACAATCTACATACGTCCCACAGCAGGGCACAGGCCTCCTCTCACTTCTGAGAGGGCCGCGCTGCCCCAATATGTACTGGCGGACTTCATATCTCCTCGAAATATTTTATTTTATTTCTCAGACACGCAGGTTCCCTCACTATGTTATCCTTCACCGCCGGGCACGTAGTAAAATTGCCAATTTCATTGGTGCCGGCGGGGATCGAACCCGGCTTGCTTGTGCACTGCACTACACAATATACAGCGAGCGCTAAGCCCCTGAGCTATTACCACAGCTCACCTGTAGCCAATAGCAAATAAAGAAGGTGCAAATTCCTGTTCCTCTCCTCAAGTTTCTTTATAAAACTGAAGTGACAAGCGAAGTTACAGTCCACCTGATGGTGAGTGGCTACTGCAGTACTCACCTTTAACCAATATCAAACAAAGAAGGCTGTAGATACCTTGTCAGCTTTGAAGGCTAAGATGGAACGCCGTATCAGGAAAGTCACCTATTTTGCCACCCTGCACGGCTAGCATGGGCTGGGCACAAAAATTTTATCGCCCGATTATATCCACTGACAAGTCATAAAATTATCTTGTCCCTATGCCGAATCACGGCAACGGGGAGAAGTATATCCTCGTTCGACATAACGAGTTGACATATATCCCCCGTCCGTAGCATGGAGCCAAATGAAAGATAAAAAAGTATGTCTTTTTGACATTTGAAAGGGACAATTCTATCCTAGTTCATTGGACGTGGATTTCAGTTTATATTCATACAAAAAAATCTATCTAAGTCAATGTCCCATTTTATCTACTGTGGATATTATATCCATCGGTGTGCCCATGCTCGAAGGGTGGATAAATCTAAGCGAGGAGATAAACATTTTCTCCTTTCCCCGGGGATAAAATTGTCTCCTGCCCATGCTAGCCCTGCTGAAGTTTAACATATTTTAAAAAAAATCATCAATATCGGTTCACAAATGGGAAATACATCGCGTAACATACAAACAAAAAACATACAGTCAGATTGTAAACCTCGAAAAAAACTTTAACCTCTTTTAAAGTCGGCTTAAAATTGAGCATTTTTTTCTTATTAATAAATATTTATTCCCATACAGCAAGCAGAAAGAAAAAACAAGGAGCTAGTCCACTTCGCAGATGACATTCGGGTGTTAGAAGAAGCAGCCAAAGCCAGCGTGGAGCAGCTACACAATGAGATCAAAACTTTGGAATTGAGGATCAATACGCTCAAGAGGGATATCCAGCTGCCAACCACGCAACAAGATATAAAGGACCAAATGGGCGATTTCCTACAGGTATACACTGTTTTTAAACCTTTAACATGTACACTTCATTTGCTTTAACACGTGGCAGAACCATGCTGCAGCTATATTATGGTTGTAGCACGAATGAGTCGGCTCATCCGAGGAAGGAAGGTCAGCTTAATTCTGCTGTGTCATATGGTGAGTATAGAGAACCGGAGAACCTTTTACTTGAAATAGAGCATATCATCTTAGCCCCCAGGAACAACAACGCATCTGTACTCGTATTTCGATTCGTAAACGAGGATAAATGAGGATGTCTATGGGCCACAGCATCTGCTTACTGTCAGGTAGACTGTGTGCTCGTTTGTCACCCTTATTCTATAAAAAAAATGAACGAAATTGCGAAGCAGAAACACAATAGAATATAAACAACACTGCTGGCGGAATGTTTCAAGAACCATCACGAGAGGAAACTGTGGATCGATAAAACCAACAAAAACATGTGTAACATATATCAAAGCATTCTCTCTGTACCATTGCCATGTGCTGCTCAAATGGTGTAACATTAATGCCCGATTCCTTCATTCAAGAAACGTTTCGTTCTCCGTAACAATCCCTTTGATTACGTACGGGGTGCATGTGAAAACAATTTGTAATACATAGCTATTCATTCAGCAACTTAGGATGACCTAAATAATTGAACTGGTATTTTGTTTTAAAAAAGTGATTATGCTTGCTAAACATGCTCTTCATTTACTGCAAAACAAATAAATTGTTTCATATTATTTAGTAATAAGGTACAATGGGACTGGCATGTTATAAATAACGAAAGTTCTTTAATTAAAAAAGAATTTTTAAAAAACATATGGATTCATGGCAAATATAAACTGTGTTAATTACTAGCCACTAATTACCGTTTCATAGTTACCGTGTGGTGACGGTGTAAGAAAATACATCACGCCATTTTGCTTCCCCCCCCCCCTCCGTGGGTGTCGTAGGAGGCGACTTTGGGATATGCCTACACTTTTACTTCCAAAAGATGGCATGATAACCGTCTTCTTACACCAGGTGTAAAATAATATCCAGACCATCCAGAATATATCCAGAATAGATCCAGAAATAATGCTGTATCTACGAACATCAATCTGCCTGTCATGTGTGATGGTCAAGGTCAATACTTACAACAGGAGAGACCCATCTCCAACAGTAGAGTATAAAATAAAACCTCACAGTAGGCCTTTTAAAAACTCTTTTTTAAAAGGCCGGCAGGGCACCTGCAATTCCCCTGGTGTTGCAGTCGTTTATAAGCGATGGTAGTCACTGACCATCAACTGAGCCGCATGCTCGTTTGCCCCCTCTTTTCTTTTCATCATCATCATCATCATTACAGCCCTTCACAAGTCCACTGCTGAACATAGGCCTCCCCCAAAGAATGCCACAAAGCACGGTCCTGAGCCACCTGCATCCATCGACTTCCTGCATATCCTACCAGGTCGTCACTCCATCTAGTGGGGGGACGCCCTACACTTCGCCTGCCGGTACGAGGCTGCCACTCGAGAACCTTTCTTCCCCATCGGTTGTCGGTTCTTCGAGCTATATGGCCGGCCCATTGCCACTTCAGCTTACTAATCCGTTGGGCTATGTCGGTCACTCTAGTTCTACTGCGGATATCCTCATTTCTGAGTTTATCACGCAGAGAAACTCCGAGCATAGCCCTCTCCATAGCTCGCTGAGCGACCTTGAGCTTCCTCATCCGGCCAGCAGTGAAGGACTTTTCTTTTCTTTTATATTATTTTAAATCAGCGCTTAACTACAATCCCACCTGATGGTAAGTGGTGATGTAGCCTAACATGGTGAAGAGCACTGACTTAACAAAAGCCTATTCACTCTTGCTTTGAAGACACCCACATTGTAATCGGATGGTATATTCCACTCCTTTGTTGTACGCGTGATGAACGACGCAGGAAACCGTTTGGTTCGAATGCGTGGTAAGTCAACAACGGAAGGGTGGAGACTGGTCGAACGTCTGGTTGTCCGATAGTGGAAGGGAGAGGGGGGAGTTAAATTATGCAATTCCTGTGCACACTCTCCGAAATGCATCCTGTAGAAAACTGAAATCCTGGCTACTTTGCGCCTATGTTCGAGGTTAGCAAGATTGGTTTTAATCATATTCGGGTCACCAATAAGCCTCTTAGCACGCCTTTCCATTGAGTTCAAAGCTGCTAGGTGATATTTTGCAGCTCCAACCCATACAAGGTAGCAATACTCCATGCACTACCGGACTTGTGCTTTATACGAGGGTGGATTGAAAAGTACTCGGCCTAACACAGATCCATTCAATTCTAAAAATGAAATCTACCCACATTATTTAGTTCAGTTCAGACTAGTTCATTGTGTGAAGTTCGAAACGTGTGCGATAATTAGTTGTGATTTTATAAATTTATTAACAAAGTAATCGGACATAATTTCCGCGAATGGAGCAAATCGAGCAGCGTGCCGTCATTAAGTACCTCCATAAGAAGGGGCTATCATCAAAAGCCATCCATGATGACATGGTCAGTACATTAGGCGATTGTGCTCTGTCATATTCATCCGTCAAAAAATGGATAGCAGAATTTAAGCGTGGTAGAGAGAGTGTGAAAGATGAACCCCGCTCTGGAAGGCCTTCGACGTCAACTACTGACGAAAATATTAAAAAGGTACTTGATTTAATAATGGGAGACCGCAGATTTAAAATTAGAGAGATAGCCGAGATTATAGGCATCTCTTATGAACGAACTCAAAACATCATTGTCAACGAGTTGGGTTTCCACAAGGTGTCTGCGAGGTGGGTTCCGCGACTGCTTTCAGTTGAACAAAAAAGGACGCGATTGACTATTTCACGCGACTGTTTGGAGTTATTTGAAGCCGATGCAGATGATTTTTTGAATCGTTTTGTTACTATGGACGAAACATGGGTTCATTACTGTACACCGGAAACAAAACAACAATCAAAACAGTGGAGAAGACCTGGTTCACCACCCCCTAAAAAGGCGGGCTCGAAAGGTGTGATTATGATTGATTATCTTGAAAGGGGTCAGAATATAAACTCTGATTACTACTGCACCTTACTACGTCAAATAAAAGAAAAACGTCGAGGAATGCTCAGAAGAAAAGTCCTGTTTCATCAAGATAACACCCGTGTTCACACGTCAGTACAGTCAATGGCTGAAATTCACAACTGTGGCTTTGAACTGTTACCGCATCCGCCGTATTCACCTGATCTGGCACCATCAGACTTCTTTCTGTTCCCTAACCTAAAAAAGCACTTGGGAGGTCAAAGATTTTCGACAAACGACGAGGTCAAAGCAGCTGTAGACGCATATTTTGACCCTAAGGAAGAATCATTTTTTTTCAACGGTCTAAATGCTTGGAAGGGGAGGTGGCAAAAGTGTATTGAACTTGATGGTGATTATGTAGAAAAATAAAAATATAACTGATTTAGTATTTGTTTATTTTCTTGGTTAGGCCAAGTACTTTTCAATCCACCCTCGTATAAAGTAAGCAGCTGTCCCTCTTATATTTAAAAAAAACACACATCATTTGACGGGTGACGTTGTTCTTATGTGGTGAAAGAAAAAATATTTACAAGTAAAGTTGTTAATCTCTTACAGGATGCAGAAAGAGAAGTATCTGCATTGAACAAAGACATGGAGGAGGTGGAGAGCATGAGGAAACAACTGGCCGAGTTCTTCTGTGAAGATCCAGTTGTATTTAAACTCGAGGATTGTTTTAAAGTAAGTATTAAGCCTTTTTAGACTGTTTCACTTTTACCGCTTGTGAAATGCACAATTTTTTTTTTGTTAATTCTTCTTTAAATATTATTTTGTAAGAGCAAGTTGCAGTAATAAATAAAATAATATGTTCTTTCTTTCCCTCCATGAAATCCGTCAAATATTTGACCTCTTTGGCGCCATCCAAGTGGCAAAAAATGTTGTAGATATCCTCATTGAAATGTATGCGTTTGCAGACGTTCGTGTCGTTCTGCAGCAAGTTCCGGGCGGCCGTGGCCGACAACGAGCGGCGGCGCGCGCACGACGAGCAGGCGGCGGCGCGACGCCGTGCGCGCGACGCGGCACGCGACGCCGCCAAAGCACGAGCAGGTAACGCGACGACAACGTAACGACAACGTGACTACACCGCGCTATACATAGCAGAATAGAAACTTTTGAAGTGAAAAGTTCTTTAGGCGCGTGTAGAATACGTGGTAGAGCCGTGCTGCAGCTATATTAGTAATATAGTTGAAAGCGAAACTACATGGGGGGGGGGGGGGGGGCAATTGATCAAGGTACAACTGAACAGTATCAGGTCGCTCGCGCGAATAATGCGCGGCTGGCCCTAACTTTATCATGAGACAGAGGTAGAAGCTACACCGCTTGCCCAACTTCTCCGCGGCAAGAATACACACATCACTGAATACGTAGTGCTTATAAAAATCGTTGTTTCTTAATACTTTAACAACTTTACATTAAATTATTTTTTTTAAAAATAGTTTTTTTTTAAACAATAATTATTTATACGTGATAGAGCCATGCTGCAGCTATATTAGTAGTATAATTGTAGCACAAATGAGTCAGCTCGATCGGAGAAGGACCACGCTCTTACAGAATACCAGCATAAAAGAGCAGCTTAACACTGCTGTGTTTCGTATGGTAAGTGAAGAGAACCGGAGACCCTTTTTACTCACAAGTGACAACGTATCTACATTTTGATTCGCAAACGAGGATGGATGTAGATGTCTATGGGCCACATCAACCACTTACCATCAGGCGGACTGTGTGCTCGTTTGTTATCCTATCCAATAAAAAAAAATCTTTTAGATAAGGGCCAAGTGTCTAAGAAATAAAACTTAGAAAATCTAATTGAAATCTATCAAGTAGTTTTTCCGTAATGCGCGCACAACTGCAAACCTCTATCACTTTATTTATGTAGATAATAATAATAATAATAATCTTTATTAATAAACATATTACATTCACAAATATTTACAGTGGTCAACAGCCCCTATACTAGGATATTGTACCTGTAAATGTTTAGTATGAGAAAATATTATGTACAATATAGCGTTGTGCTTATGTGGCGAAATAAATATTTTCTTTTTTTCTTTATAATGATGAAAATCACAATAGATTTAAAAATAAAATTATTTAATTTATTAATTGTTCAACACAGCTGGCAGTATGTGTAGCACGCCAGTGTCGGAATGCGAGTCGCTGATGGAGTCCTTGCTACTAGACATCAGGAACGGGCTTGGTAGACGATCGCTAAGGAAGCCTGCACACGATCCATCGCCGTCTCCTGGTAAGTATTCAACGACATTTTACAGACGCACTTTGTGCTATGGGTGTCGTAAAGTCGTAAGAGGCAACTACGAGATATGCCAAAAAGATCTTATACAACCATTTCGGTTAACGGCGGCGGGCAGCAGTGTCAATGATGCAAAAGGTCTGGTATTGTGACCGTTATTCACGAACGCGAACCGGGGGATGTTTTTTGTGATATTTCATATGGGAAGTTTAGTATTTAATCGCCACACTGGGTAGCCATATATAATACACATAGATTAATATTTCATACAATTTGTCTATAAATTTTTTTCCGTGTGAAATAAAGTAGCAACACAGTCACACAGTCACAGATGAAACACGTCTAACAACTGCTCAGATGGTGATGTGAATTTCAAGTTGGAGCCTTGAGATACTGTCGTCATCGACTGTCTGCTAGGTCAAGCTGCTCAAAAACTTCACCAATGTGACACATCTACATATTGTGAAAAAGTTTTTAAATATATTATTACAAAAGGTAATTAATTATTACTTGATACTGGCTGGTATATATGGTGTGGCCAGCTGGTATAACAGAATTTATTGTTTAATCTCTATTGAGTACCTCAGACCCCTGGTAGAGCTTGATTTAATTTAAATACCTTACATACATCACCTGCGATTCATTGAATGTAAAGCGATCCTCAATCCAACTCTTGCGATGCGGTTGTCTGTAGTTCTCAGGCATAATCACCAGGATACTGCAGATAAGACTTGCGCGCGCTTATTACACATACAGTCTATCAATTTTTAAGATTATTGGTACACCCGCGTAAATTTACACACGCGTGGGATGCTATAAGAGCAATGCATCACGTAAAAGATGGCGAGAAATGAGTAGCTCATCACCGTTGCGTACAAGCCTGCAAAACACACTAGCGTAATGGCCTAGACGCGGAAACACCCGACAGCCTCAGATTCGCAAGTGACACACAGAGAAGCATTACGAGAAATTCCCGCGTGAATTTGAAAATTTGACATAATAGACAGACAGCCATTTTGGCGTGTCAAATGGCAAAAGTACAACTGTAAGGCGGAAATTATACAGAAGCGACATAAGGCCAAGGCACGGCACGGGTACCGCGCAAGAGTGGAACGGATAAAAGCGGCATGTCCATGCCACGCCATTTGTGTATAATTTCCGCCGCTTTCATACATTTTATATGAAAAAGTTTTAAAGTGGCACCATGCCTGCGCCGCGTAATTTGCGCCTAAGTCCCTTACCAAAGAAAGAAAAAGTAAGAGTGGGGCGTTCGTTTGCAGACGTGACGCCGACGGGCAGCCTGCGGCGCCGCAGCCGCGCCAGCCCGGACGACGAGGACGGGCTGCTGGAGTTCCTGCGCCACGCCTCGCCCGCCGCCGCCGACCTGCGCGAGCGCAGCGCCTGGGGCAGCCTCGGTAACGCACTCTCTACTACTCTGTACTGCTACCAGGGCAGCATAAATACATAAAGACCAGCCTCGGTACACATAGTAGTAAATAAAATAATGACTTTCAATAAGTATTATGTAATAATCCATATTGAATAAAAATCATTCTATTCTATTCTATTCTATTCTATTCTATTCTATTCTATTCTATTCATAGCCCTTATTTGTATTGCTGCTTCCATGTTTATGGACGCCTGCGTGTACCAGGGCAGCATAAATACATAAACACCAGCTTCGGTACACATAGCCCTTCTTTGTATTGCTGCTTCCATGCTTATGCACGCATGCATGTACCAGGACAGCATAAATACATAAAGACCAGCCTCGGTACACATAGCCCTTCTTTGTATTGTTGCTTCCATACTTATGCGTGGATTGACTACCAGCTTAGCATGAAAACATGAATACATTTATTTCATCATTTACATCTACGCACATCCATCCATTACAACCAATAAAAGGCCACTGCTGAACATAGGATCTCCCATAGATTGCCTCATTAGGGGGGTTTGCCATAGTTGCTACGCTTGGCAGGCGCATTGGCAACCGCAGTTTTTTTTTTATTATTTTTAGTTGTTATCAGGAAGATGCTGCTACAAATCTTATATTTTAGTTTCCTTCTGCTGCCTCTTACGACACCTACGGGACGATATGGATCTACATACGACACAATACGATTAAAGAAAAACAGAACAGAAATAAGTACACGTAATAAGATAGAATAGATTTTTTTTTATTCAATATAGATTACATGTCATTCCTCAACCTAAATTCTCAACCAGCAAAAAAATCCCAGCGGGACATTACTTTTTAAAATAAATTGTACAATAGGTAATAAAGGTTGTGCAAACATTTTACAAAATTTATTTTACAAACAGCTTGGAAGCTACCACCTCATTCCCAGGGGCTATTATCACACATGTTATATGTATATACACACACACAAACACCCACACGCGCGCGCGCACACACACACACACACGCACACGCACACAAACGCGCGCGCGTGCATGCGTACTCACACATATTAAAACAAAAATCATATAATATGATGAAATGGTGGAAAAGATCGTCTCTGCATAAACTGCAATCTTGCAGCGCTGATTTTCAGTCGGCTCCGAACAAGTCCGGACGATCAACAGTATGCGAGCGAATAATTCTTTATCTATTTTCTATACTCCATGTGAGATACATGATGAGAATAAAATCATACGCCTGTTATAATATAATAGATGTAGCGCGAATTTGTCAGCTCGACCAGGGAAGGACTACGCTCTCACAGAATACTAGCGTAAAGTAGCGGTTTAATATAGCTGTGTTTTGTTTGGTGAGTATAGAGAGACCCTTTTTACCAAAACTCGTTTCCAGCATTTCACCTTAGTATCCAGGGGTGACAACGCAACTGCATTTTGATTCTTAATTGAGGATAGATGTATGGGCCACAGAATCCACTTAATATTAATATGTGCGCTTTTTTATTGTATAAATAATCACACCCCTCCGTTTGTACTATTGCTTCCATGCTTATGCACGCAACTTTGATTGCCTAGTCGCCTAGCCTAGCCTAGTTGGTCTAGTTGTCATAAGCGCTATAGCTGAGCATCAGGCCAAAATCAGTTAGAAGATATTTCCATCAACATATTGTAAGAACACGCACTCATGCACACATATGCATCTTAAATAAAGAATTTATCTTGTTTGTATAACCGGTGCGACACTAGGATCTATTTAGGCCCCAATTTATTCATTTTATATAATATTGTCAATTGACTTTGTTAATAAAAACTTCAACACATGGAGTCAAATCATTTTTACTGGATACAGTTGTGACCGTTACTTAAATTGACCAGCATTTAATTTTTTATAAAAAAAAACCTATCTATAATATTTGACACCTCCGTGGCGCAGCATTCAGTTATGGCGCTGAGAGTTGCGGTTCGAAATTCCGCACGGAACAAGTATTTGTGTGGCCTACAAATAATGTTTATTCTTGTTCAATTTATGCTTCGTTCCTTCAACTTATATCGTCGATATAGGAGAAAATCTTAGTGTTTTTTTTAAACGTTACCTCCACACTAAGATGTTCTCCTGCATCGTGGGGGCAGTTTACATACATAAATACACAAGGACAAACATGCAAACGCGGAACAATTATTTGTAGGCCATACATAACATACTTGTTTCGTGGCGGATAATACCCTCCGCTCCTTAGCACTGCTCTCATTGTTAAGCCACTTCGCCAACGAGTCGTCTGTAGTGTGGGCGTAAGGTGTTTTTTACATGCCTTAAGCGCAAAGTGCGTAGGTATGTTCTACTAGCACCTAAAAATCACGATACTAACGTTTTTCGCATAAAATCGTTTCTAATAATAATATTGAATATTAGCGACTCAAAAAGATCACTGTACAAATACAAAATATTCGAAAAACTAAATTTCATACATACTTGATTATTATAATAATCAGAGATTTTTATTACAATATTTTAAAAGCACAGAATAAATAATAGTACTACGTACTAAAAGTAAGTAGGATGTGTATATTTAAGTATATTTATACTTAAATACGTCTTGGACTTTATGGAGTGATGTGAAAGATGATATGATGATCATATGAGCATTATGAGATGTGCACTTTTTGATTTCCAAACATTTTTTAATTGAAATTTGACATATAATTATTGGAAAATGGGAAGTATAATAATAAGGTTATTAGTGAAAACTTGTGTGTACTTAAACTACTTTAAAAAAATTACGTATAATCATGTTATAAGTAATTTTTTTAGTGCGCTTAGGGCATGTACAATTAGATTTACCAAAATTTTTTATATTTATATTATATGTTTTTTGTTTACAGATCGGTCGTGGTCGCGGCGCGGGCCGGTGCGCGCGCGCCTCGACATCCCGGAGGCGAGCCGCGAGCGCGCGCCCTCCCCCGCCTCCCCCGCGCCCCCCGCGTCACCCGCACCCCCCGCCTCCCCTGCACCCCCCGACACGGCACACACTGCCCCCGTCACCGCAGGCACTAAACCCAAGTATGTCCTCACTATAATATTATTTAGATTAGGTGACACGTCAAACAAAAAATAAGATGCTATACAAAGTAATGTGTATTTCCTTTTTTAAATCTTTATTGCATTTCAATGAAAAACTGCAGTTGCCAACCCGCTTGCCAAGCGTGGCAACTATGGCAAATATCCCCCGTGTGAGGAGACAATCTATGGGGGAGGCCTATGTTGAGCAGTGGGCTTTGATCATAGATTAGGGGGTAATCTATGACTTTGATGGGCTGTAGCGACAATACATAAACACAAAATCAATACATACATATAAATACGAGTATACAATGTTGTATTCTTAATGATTCCTCAGTAGATTTTCGCGAACCAACATTTTAAAGGAGTATTTGTTAAACGATTTTCGAATGTCATAATGTATTTCTTTATTTTAGAGAATGGAGACAGAAAATCGAGTCATGGCTAAGAGCGAACAGTCAGGAAGAAAAGCGAGACGCAGAACTACGCGAGCGCGCGAGGCGGCTACAGGCTAACAGGCGATCCTTGGAAAACGACTCCGGTTAGATATTTGAGATTTCTGACTTTCATCATTTATTCCTGTTCTATAAAACAAAAAAAAACTATGTGTTACAATGTTAGGTAGTAGCCTACTACTTCTCATCATCATCATCATCATTATAACCCTTTAAAACTCCACAGCTGAACATAGTCTCCACTAAGTAACGTACAGTAAACAATTCTCAGCTACCTGCGGCCAAAGACTTCCTGCATATCTTACCAGGTCGCCACCCTATCCCCCCACTAGTGCTACCCTTTTATTTGCTTTAGCGATACTGCCACTCGATAACCTTTCTTTACCATCGGTGGTCGGTTGGTACTTCTAAAAGTTTAATTGAACAGATAAAGCCAGCATCACAATAATATGAAAAATTTCTATCAGGTTTCATATACATTAAAAACAATTCTAATATATTTGGCCGTAACAAACTTAAACTAAAAAAAAGAAAATATTTTTAAGAAAATATTTCACATTTATAGCAAAATATAGAAATAAATTACTTTTATTTTTCAAATATTGACAAAATAAATAATAATTATTAGAAATCATGTTTCCTTTTAACACTGGTTTGGGATAAAACAACTGTCTTGAGAAGAACAGGTACAAAACCCAGTGGGACTCTTTTCAAAAATTTTACATAGAAATAAATACATAATGCGTACAATTAATTATAAAATCATTTAAGAAACAACTTGAAAGCTATAAAGGAAATATAAAAATCATTAATATAAACCAAAATTAAAACGGACGAAGGAAGGGTCCCTGTGGAACACCCATTTTGCAAACTTGATCAAAACATAGTGGGGCTATTTATTAACTTTTTAGTTTAGGACTGGAAAGATAAGATGACATATTTATAAATGTAAACATTCTTGCGTAGCCACGAATGTGTAAATACTTTATTTAAACATGTATTTTCGTGCTGTATACAATCAAAAGCTTAAAAAAATACGATCAGTGTCTTAAATATTTTATACTGTCATTAGACTTATTTATATTGCGTCTTTTTTTCGTTAAATGAATGTTATGAATGTAATATTGTCTTTAAGTCGACCACATACTGTGTCAGTAAAATCTCACACAGACAGACAGAACCACTATCCTGAAAATTGTCTGATATAAAATATGATAGGTGAGCATATACTTATTTTTAAGCGCTCGGTGTTGCGACCACCGTACTTGTGTCATGCGATGCATGTCGTTTATTATTTATATCAAGTGGCGGGAAAGTGTTTTTCTACCGACTTCAAAAAGGAGGAGGTACTCAATTTAATTGTATGTTTTTTTAGTTTTTTTATGTGTTTTTACGATTTCGATGATTCTTTTTTATTTGAAAGCTGGTGCTTCACATGTGGTTCCATATAAATTTGATTACGGTCTGACTAATAGTTTTTGAGTTATTCTTAATAATTTATATTGAAGTCGGTTGTACTAAAGTTTTAATTTTTGATTATTTATATAAATTTAGCGTCTAATTCTTCTACTTTTAGGAATATTTGTAGTTTAGTTTAACATTTTTTAATCTAATTAATATGAAACAAAATAATATCTATACGTATAATAAAACTGTAAATAGCAGATGTCTGTACATTTTATATTTTTGTAATAAAAGTGATTGAGGGGTACTAAAAATAAGTAATTAAATACATTTCTACCATTTTTAGAATTTTCTGTCTGTCTGTCTGTCTGTCTGTTTGTTTGTTAACGTATCACGTATAAAGTACTAATTTATATCATAAGAATTGTTAAGGAAATTATAAAGTGTATCTTCGGGTTACATTTAGTCTTCATTTCATTAAAATCAGTTCATTCCATCAAAAGTTATGATAAATATTCTGAAGTATGGGTAGGGAAGTATAGGTACGAATTTGCTCAACGGTGGCTTTGTTTGAGTCATCAAGTGCATTTTAAACTAATATCATATCATAAATCATAGTTAAATTATGTAAAATAATGATATAATTATGTATATCTAAAACGCAGTAAACAAAAGTATTAAAGAACGTATTAAATATATTATACAAAAATATATTAACATTATTAACTAAATCTGAAGCACAATAGTTAACCCATTTCTTCGATAGATGGTGGTGTTGTGAAAATGTAATGCAATTGCAATGTGGTTTTTTCCTGTAGATGAGTTTTCATATTTACTGCTAATCTTTATTATATTACTCGCTGCCCTACTGCGTGTTGACAAACTCAATTTATTCTTTACCGCCGAGTACTCTATGTAGTAAATCAAATTTTAAAAGAGCTATTAACAATTGCGTTGGTTTTGGCGAGAGTCAAACTTTATTTTTTGCTTACTGTGCAGGCACTGATTTATAAGTTCTCTTACGTTTTATATAATGTATCAATCGCGTCAATTAATCTCTTTTATTTTTAGAATTGTTGTTAGCAGCGCCATCTCTCTTTAAATATATACATATAATAAAAATGATGATAACATGTTGTGTCTCTTTCTGTACATTGTATATATATTTTGGTGGCTAAAATCATTATGGGGAACTGAAAATAATTAAATAAGAACATTTTATAATTTTTAGAATTGTCTGTCTGTCTATTTGTCTGTTATTATATGAACGCATCACGTCTAAAGTAAACATCTTTTATTTTCAAAGAAATCGTTAAGAAAATCATAAAGCGTATCTTCGAGTTACATTTAATCTTTGTTTTATTAAAATTGGTTAATTCTATCGAAAGTAATGATTATTATTTTGAAATGTAGGTTCGGATTTGTTCAATGGCGCCATAAAATCTCAGAAATAGTAATAAAAAGATTGGTGTGTAAAAAAAACGTTCCATAATAATTAATATATTTATACTTAAAACACAAAAAGAGATTTAAAAAGTATGTTTTCTCACACAAAGGACGTAATAGATTGAGTTGTACAAATTACAAACTTTTCTGAATTGCTGTGTTGAGATTTTTCGCCGATGAATCGTATTGAGACTTACTGAAGAAATTTGTATCCATCGAAGCCATACAACGGAAACCGACCAAAAATAAAAATTTTGCAACGAAATGTCGTGATATTGTATTTATAATATACGCAAAACCAGTACTGCCATTTTAGCGCTTTGGGAACTAGATTTAGCGCTTTTTTGGAATGTATAGCGCGCATTTCGAAATTTTAGCACCTAGCGCTTAATCCAGCGCTTTTTGGTGTATTTAGCACACATTTCAATATTTTAGCGACTAGCGAGTTATTAACTCTTTTATAGCAGCACTGTTAGTCCACATTACCGATAATAATAATAATGACCTTTATTATTTTTTCCCACAAATAGTACATTGCAGTTTATCTTTTTCAAACATATTTTTTCCACAAAACAAAGAGCATGGGAGACGAGTCCAATCTAGGATACCCTGTGCTATGGATCTCCTGGCTTCCCCTTTAGGATGATCAACTTGATTTTTTTACCGACGATTATAAGCGGGGAAATCCCCTTTATTTAAAGTTTTGGCAACGCATTTATTTTGCTTTATTCAGTTTCAGTCAGTTGCTTAGAGCACAGCTAAGTTAAAAGTTACTTAGAAGTTATAACACAAAGAAACTGTGTAGCAACCGCAATCAGATGCTGACATCTGAAACTAAGTTGCGAAATACATTGCACTTTAAAACAATTAATGACATTTTTATTGTTCGTACAGTACTAACTACTGTTGACAGCAATTGCCATAATTATAAGTCGATGTCCTGCGAAGTATTGATACATCAAAAAAATATTGCCAGAAAAAAACTTAATGTTGTTTTCTTTATTATGATTATATAGAAAAAACACAAACTTTGTTTGTAGTTAATTTAGCGCGAAATCTAGGGCTTTTTTAAAGCGCGATTTTCATGAAATCTAGCGCTTTTTGTGTTGTCCTAGAGCTGAATGAGTTTTTTTTATCTGGCAGCACTGCCCAAAAACCCTCTATTAAGAAGTAACTTTCCTTTCAGTTTTAAGCGCGTTCAGTTCCCAGTTACAGTGAGCGTGTGTTATGCGATGACCGTAAATAAAGCGCAAGGTCAAACTTTACGCGTTGTAGGAGTGTACCTCAGTACTGACTGTTTTGCACATGGCCAACTCTATGTTGCTTTTTCCCGCGTTAGTAGCCCCCGTAACCTTTTTGTGTACACCCCGGCTAAGCCTACTTCTAACGTCGTTTACACAGAAGCTCTATCATAAACGACTTAGAACTTTGATGATAATGATTTATTTAGTTACCACTTATTGATACAGTAATGAAATAAATCGTTTAATATTCTCTTACCTAAACGACAAATTCTTTATGTAAAACCTGTATACGCGAGCTACGCCGCGGGCACAGCTAGTTTTAGAAATAAACATCAATCTCAAAACTTTTTAAACAAATTAACTTCCCTCGCCATAAAATCTGTTTATTAATACATCTCATTCAAAAGTGGCGCCGTCCTGGTAGCAGAAAAATCGTGGATGCCATCATTGTCAAATACTCCAAATCGAATATAATACAAATGCTTAGAACGGTATCATAATTGTTCGTTTATATTTTGGTGGGCAGAGAGCGAACGCAGCACGACACTGGAGCCACTGGCGGAGGGCACGGGCGAGGGCGGGGCGGAGGCGCGCGCCGACTGGCGGCCCGCCGTGCTGCCCGACAGCGACGTCGTGCGCGCGCTCGAGGCCGTCGAGGGTACGCACGCACACGCGCACGAACACCTACACGTACGCGAACACGCACAAGCGAGCACATGTACACGCACACATGAACGCACAGTCATACACACACACGCCCACATTTACGAACATATACACACGCAGTCACACACACATGTGCACACGCTCACGTACACGCACACATACATACACGCATACACATACACGCACACATACACGCACACTGACAAAAACACACATAAGCATGCATGCACACGCACGCATTCTGACGACTAAAAAACGTAAAACTCAATCCGTCATGTTACAAATTATTATTAATGTTATGTTTATACTGAAGCTCGTTTTAAAAAATAAGTCCCGTAAAAAAAGTGTAAACTCAAATGTATGGTATGTAATTTAACAACAAAAATATCAAATTTCGCGCCTTTGGCGCCGTGACTAAACATTTTGAGATTAAGACTGTAAATCTAGAATTTTTCATATCTAGAAGCATTTAAACACATCTAAAACAACCAGTCTTTAGATGTAAATTTTTTTTTTCTACAATTGAATTATAAAACAAGAGATTATTTTATATAATTAATATGAGATTGTTCCAAATAAAATTACTCATTATCCTATGTCACATAAGTTTCGATAACAAAATTATTTTAAAACTATTGTTTCACAAAAAAATTATCGTAATACAATAAATACAAGATGCATAGGTGTAATGTAAATAGAATTACAACTTTTACTACTATGAAGGTATTCACTGGTGACCTCTCTGTACTTTACTATTCTATAACACCAGCGTGTCATTATATGTGCGCGCGATCTTTAAGTGCGGGTGGTGCGAAGAGCGCTAAAGTGTTCTGCCCACACACCCAAGGTCGTTGATCCGGGGACAAGCCTTAAACAATAGTTTAAACTCAAGCATTCCATTTTTCCTTTGTGTCTAAATACTTTCACAGTGAACACCATAAAGTGCACTACAGTAGCCTTGTTCTTTATTTTCTTCATATCGTTGACTTAAGTCAACTCACACCTTTTGCTATATATTCAAGCACTGCACTGTAGTGAATCTTACTGACTTAAATCGAAAATTAAACCTAATATTTTTCCTTAGAAAATTTTAATAATATCATGTCCATTTTCAGATGTGCAACCACCGAAAAAAGACAACAGACTGCCGTGGAGGAAAACAGAAGAAAATGAGGAGATGAGACGGCTACGCAGGCAGAGATCTCGGCAGCAAATAGAAGCACCACAACCTCTAGTGCCTATCACCGAAGAAGAACGACGAAAATTACCTGACATCAAAGTTACCAGTGCGAAGGAGACAAGGGTGGAACGGACAGATCGAATTGAAATTGATTCCGACAACATCGAAACTCCACCAGCTCAAAGGAAACTATTCAATCCACCTCCAGATAAGGAAACATGTCGAAAGTTCCAACCGTCAACACCTACCAAACCAACCCTGAGCGATAAAGCTTCCGCAGAAATGAGAGACCTGTGTCAGGAGATTTTGGGTGACGGACAATTTGACAGATTCTCAGCAGCAAGAAGAACGAGACGCTACAAGAGAAATACAGAGTCTAGTTCCCAAGAAGAAGAAAAGAAAGTTGAGAGTCCAACGGAATTAGTTGCGGAAACGCAAGTTATTCGACCATCAATGTTAGAAGTTCAAGCGTCGTATGTAGATTCTTCAAAGGACGTAGCGAAGCCAATCGAAGAAGTCGTTAAAGTTGAAAAAGAAAACAGACTGAAACGTTGGCAGGACAGATTAAAAAGCCAAAGCACAGACAAAACGCCGACCAAAGAAACAAAGTCCCTGCCATACTCGCGAATGAGGAGACAGACGTCCATCAATCAGGAAGATGTGCAAAAGGCGATAAGGGAGCTTAAATCGCCAACAGAGACGCCGACTGGTGTGTGGTCAAGAAATGCATATAGAAAGTCTATGAATGCTAAATTGGAAAAGGTTCCAGTATCAACTCCTACGGAAAGGACCTCCTCACCACGAATCCCAAAGGTCAAGAGTGAGCACGAACTGAATGATGAAGGTTTCGAAGAAACGCAAAGTCTGAACTCCGAGAGTGCTTCGCAAGGCGCTTCATCGGGCTGTAATATTGACTGTGAATCTCCAATACCGAAAACAGAAAAAGTACTTGAAACTCCAAAGAAAGTTCCCACCAAAGAGACCAAACCGCCCCCGCGAACGCCGCTGGACCCTAAACGTAGCTTTGCGAAAAGGGCTAGCTCATTAAGGGTAGAAAGATCTACTTCCCGCACATCCCTGCGAAGTTCTAGGAGTTCACTAAACAGTTCAGCGTCAGTTGCGACCGTGAAGAGAGCTCCTCCTGCGCCCGTGAGGGTTGCGCCCAAAGCTGTTCCAAAGCCTGCACCACGGATGCCAGCATCCCGCTCCTCATCCAGCGGCAGTTCTGTCGGCGCGTCGAGGCCTCCAGTAAAAACCGTGCCGAGAACATCGGGCTTCATGAGACCTACTCAGGCCTCGAAAGGAAGAGGCACACCGGGTGTTACACCCCAATCCAGTGTAAGGGCCAGTGTGAAATGAATTACCAAATGTAATTTTGTACAGGAACAATTCTAGTTGATTTCTACGGTGGTTCTGGCAAATACTCGGCAGCAACACGCGTACGGTCGGGAAATCAAGTATTAAAGACAAAAACATATTAACTTTTAAATTTTATTGAATTTTATTGGAATCTTCAGATACTCAAGGTGCTAGAATCTCAAAAACAAAGAAATCTGAAGTTTTCAATGACTGATTTTTTTTTTAATATTAATAAAATTAAATAGATCTGTTATGGATTTAAATATTTATAAATAAATAAAAAGATGATAATTTATGAACAATTGGACCCGTACGTAATTTATATTTTTTTTTTTATAAGACAGATTTCTATAAGAATTGTGAACTCAATGTGTGATTAAATTATTGTGCCACGAATGAGTACGGGTAATTTCATATTTTTGTTTATTTACAATAACGATTATTTGCCTATATTTGGGCATCCGTTGTAAACGTGCTATTTTTTATTATGTTAAAAACAAAAAATTCTTTAAAACTAGTAAACTTTATTTAATTATTCTTCCAGCATATTAACGATTATAAATAAAAGATCTGATTTGCGTAATAGTCATTTTCTTTGTAATTATATTATATGTATAATTCGTGATCGAATAACGTATTGTCACAAAACAAAAGTAAACTTAGATCGCATGGTATTATAAAGTTTAAATAAATCTAAGTTTTAACACCAATTCATTATTGTATATTATGTTTATTTACTAAACTAAATACAATAAAATTTTATCCCCACAAAGTTATTGTTTCCTTTGAATAAATTGGGCCATTTTATGCAGAAGTGTTTCATTCAACCCACAAAAACAAAGTTATTGAAGCTTCTATCTATCTATATAACGGAATCTTTTAATGTATTTTTCACCAATTTGTGGACGACCGATTGACTTGAAAATTTGCACTCGTATCAAGGACCGATGACAATACAAGAATTTGATAGCTTTATCCTAGCATCCTGATCAGGACCAGCGGGATAAAATTAAGTATTCATCACAGCTTATGATAAATGCGTGTTGTTTAAGTTTTTTTTTTAAACTCTTATAATTTTTGTGGCGAAAGCCCATTACATATATCACTAAAGAAAATTGAATTGTAGATTTTGGGACTACTTGTTATTTTTCAGAAGTCTTTTGTACTTAGAAACAAACTTATAAAAGCGCCTCTGGATCATTATTTTGGCCAATTTGTCGGTTGGATCATTTCAGCACAACACGGTCCAACTGCATCTGGATTGGACTCACTGGATATCACCACCATCACTGGATTCATGCCTCTCCCGTTACAGAGGAAGTTTTGTCTTAATTACTACACTTGACAGATGGGCTGGCAATCGGATGGCATTGATGAAGAGAAAGGGAGAGTGAGAGGGAAAGAGATTTTACTGAGATTGCCCATAGGCGCCTCTTATGACACCCACGGAATTCCATCAGATTCTGGCATTGGTAGCCAAAGTGGTACAGAAAAATATTATTGTTTTCTGCCGACTTCAAAAAGGAGACGGTACTCAATTCGACTGTATGTTTTTTTTTATATTTGTTACCTCATAACTTTTTACTGGGTGAAACGATTTCGATGATGCTTTTTTTTATTTGAAAGATGGTACTTCCCATATGAATTTCATATGTGGTCCCATATGAATTTGATCAAAATCAGATCAATCGTTTTTGAGTTATTCTTAATAATTTATATTGAAGTCGGCTGTACAAAATTTTAAATTTTTAATTATTGTATACCTTACATTGACGGATTAAATGTAAAAAATATCATCCATAGATCCATCTGTAGAGAATTTTTTTTGAGATTGTAAATTGTGAATCTAAGTGAATCAGACTTCACTTGATACAACGTGTACAGGCTCAGACAGCCGTAAACTTAGGCTCGTAAATAAATTATAAATAAACAAATAGATATTTCCGTTTATTTTCTATAGTTATTAATATTTTTTTATAATCACAATAAATAAATAAAATAAAATAAATGATTTCGGTTTCATAACATTCCTCCGTCTACCAGTTCTTGAATTAGATCCGTCATTTTCCTTCTGCACGCAGTGTTTGACGTCCACACCGGCTTGATACAGTCATGTGATGGGTTTGTCTCAGTATCCTGCAAACATAAAATAATAACGTCCTCCAGACCAAATTTCGATCACGGCGACCAGTCAAAACAATGACTAGACTTGTGCAGGACAGGATTATAGTGCCCAAGTGTATGCCACAGGTGCACTCTCTATTCCCTCGCCCTTATTCTGAGAACGGTTTTACGTGCTTTCCGAGGCACGGGGGGTCTGAGTCCGGGCTGCTACCGAGAATTTCTTGACAGAACTACCAAATTATAGCCAAAGCCGAGATTTGAACCCGGCACCTCATGATCAACAACCGCGATTACAACCACTAGACTAACAAGGCAGTCAAACATATTTACATAGTGGCAATATAGGATACATTCGGAAAGTGTTATACCAGGTAGAGCCATGCTGCAGCTATATTAATAGTATAGTTGTAGCACAACTGGGTTGGCTCGACCGGGGAAGTACCACTCTCTCACAGAATACCAGCGTGAAATAGCAGCTTAATGCTGTTGTGTTTCGTATGGTGAGTGTTTCTACACCAGTAAAAAGGGTATGCGGTTCTCTAACCGGATACCCTTTTTACTGGAAACGAAGCATTCTATCTTAGTCCTCACGGCTGACAGCGTTTTAATTCAAAAACGAAGACAGATGTAGATATCTATAGGCCACAGCAATGCTCGCCAGGCAGACGTTGTTCTGCCCTTTTCGACGACCCTTCATATAAAAAATCCTTAAATTTTGTAATAAAAAAAATATTGAGTGTCACTTATCAGGATAAAAACTATCCTATCTCTCAAGTTGGACCAAACTGCACACAGTGTGCAAATTTCATTGAAATCAGTTCAGTAGTTTAGGGGTTCATCACGGATAAACAATGTGACACGTAATTCTTATTGTACACTGTGAGCAGTTTGGTCCAAGTTGAGAGATAGGATATTTTTATGCCGAAAAGTGACCCTCAATTTTTTTATTGCTAATTTCAGTTTTCTTTTAGAAAAACAAATGGTAGTCGGAAAGGGCAGAACAACGTCTGCCTGGCCAGCTAGTATATATATATATATAAAAAGTGTGCACAGGATTTGCATGACTTAATTTCTCCCTCTCCCTTAAACCAAATGGTTTGATTTATAATTCGTAATGCGTACAACCATAACCGTGTAGTGGCGGTGTAAGAATATCCACCACGTCATATCATCCCGTGGGTGTCGTATAAGGCGACAGAGAGAAACAAATCAGGAGATGGACAACAGCGTGTTCCTAACAACAACTAAAAATAAAACTACGGTTTGTAACCCGCTTGCTAAACGTTGTAACTATGGCAAATGGTGTATGAGGCAATCTATGGCGCAGGCAGTGGAGTACAATGACTGTAATAGTAATGCACTGCGTACAGGAAAGTAGTGAAACAATTTGTTAGCATCCGTCTTTCCATCCGATTACGATGTGGATCTCTTCAAGGTAAGCGTGATTAGACTTTTCTTAGTGTTTGTCAATGTTTCTAACATATAGAAAAAAAACTTGTGTATAGAAATGAAACCTTCAGAAAAGGGGCCTGAGATAATATGAAGTACTGCATACTGCATTCTATCTCATTCTCTCGTAGGCTAAATCCTATAGATGTATATGTTTATCTCTTTTTAATATCGCCTTTGCGTTTCATCGACTTTCAAATCACAATAATTCTAAAGAAGTTTTCACATCAAAAGTACAAAACACCAGACGCCACATGTGGTTACCTCCGATTGATAAAGATTGGGAGCCTCGTCACTGTCGCAGGTCATTATGGGGTACATGTCCAAAGCAATGCCAAGTCCAAAACGACTACTGCGTTTGAACTCCTCCATTAGCCTGAAATTAATGGAACAAAGACTTCTATAGAATTAATTTTTGAAATGTAAGCATTAAATAAATTATTAAGTATTTCAACCTTCTTTCTTTCGTGTACACTTTTTATCCGATGTCGACGAAGCTCAAAAAGAGAGTAATATTTTTGGCTGGCTTGTAGTTGCCGCCTAACATAATTAACCACCCCAGTGAGTGTCACATGAGGAAACTGAAACAGGAGATGGCCAGCAGCATCTTACTGATGCCTCAAAATAATAAAAACGGCGGTAGCCAACAAACCGCCTAATTGTGACGAGTCTGGCAAATATACCCAACGTGATCCCAAGAATGAATCCAATTTTTGGGTGAGACCTATACTTGGCAGTAAATTTTTGATAATCTGTAATGATGGTTACTGTAATGTACCTATCTAGTATGCTTTCCCATTTTTGATGGCGCTGTAACACATCTGTAAACTTACATTTCGTACAAAGTATCCCTGTTGAGCTTGCTATGGAACACGGAGTCGTCCTCACTCATCTCCACCAGCCTCCTATGCAGTTCATCCGCATAGTACTCAAGCAAGGAAGCTAGGTGGCTAGTTCTCTGCTCTCTGTCTAGACACAGGTACATGAGGTACACGAGGTCTAGTGTGGGTGACGCGTAACGCGCCAACTGGAAGTCTACTATGTACATCTGGAAGGAAAACACTAATTATATCTGATGTTATAAGAGACAATTTATTTTAAAACAACTCGGGACAAAGAAGTTATTAATTCGACTGTATTTTTACCTAAAGATTATTCTTTCAGTGTTTTATATAAATCTGAACCTAATTAATTGACTTTAAACTTTGGAACTGCAATCGCCAATCTATCTGCCAAACGTGGAAGTGGCCTATGTCCAGCTGTGGGCTTTTACGGACTGATAAAGGAAAAAGGAAAAGAGCATAACACAAGAGTATTTTACTACCCAAGGAAATTACTACAGCACGACAATTGGTGGGACTTATCTGTGCTCTACAATGGTCATATTTATGGTTTACACTTTACAATTTATCATCATCATCATCATTAAAGCATTTATCCACTGCTGGGAATAGGCCTCCACCAAGTAATGCCACAAAACATTGTCCTGAATCACCAGCATCCATCACATTCTGCAAGTCCTACCAGAGCATCACTCGATCTAATAGGAGTGCAGCCTACACTTACTTAGTTTCGCCTAATCTTTCCTCCCTACCGTTTGTCGGTTGTTCGAGCTATATTGCCGACCAATTACCACTTCAGCTTACTGATTTTTTGGGTACATCAGTTACTCAGATTCTACTGCGGAATATCTTCATTGCTTCAATTTTAACACGCAGAGAAACTTCGAGTATAGCCCTCTCCGTTTGAAAGACATCAAAGTGAAGCGCCACGTTTCAGATCAGTACAATTACGATTCAATATTTATCTTACAGGATTTCTGAAACTTTCAAATGAAATAAAACAACCTGTGTAACATTGTGTGATAATGGCACAATTTTTATTTTATTTTAAAGGACATTCGATGACATTATGTATGGAATATATTATAATTTCAGGGGCATGGCCGCCGCGACTTCACTATAAGTGTTGTATCCTGTTGGACCAATTTTGGACGACATCTTGGGGCTCAATTTCATGAAGAACGCTTGTTGCTGTTGGCCTTCAGGGTGGCAATTGTCTGTGGTTTGTATGCATAGACCAGAGATTTCACGTAGCCCACTGAAAGTGGTCGAGCGGTGTTAAGTCACACATTCTCTTTGGTCAGTTGATGTCGCCACTACGCGAGATGACGAAGCCCTCGAACTTATCATCCAATTAATTTAATGTTTCCCGTGCACTTTTAAACAGGACGTCAAGTGGCGCCGACCTGTTTAACTATATGTTTGTGATGTCCGTACTATCTATTCTAGGCCACAAAAAAATTGTTATCATTGTCCTATATCGGTCACCATTGACATTGAGCGTGGCTCCATGCAGACTAAATCCACACAAAATAGTGACTTTTTCGAAGTGTTGAATCTCCCGTGGATTTTCGTTGCAACAATTCTTAACAAACAAAATCCAATTTTGTTTGTTAAGAAAGCCACTCAACCAGAAATGAGCCTATTAATCAATTAAGGTGATTTTTTACCGAAAGCAGGGACAGCCGCCAAATGCTCTAAAGCAATCAGCGAATACACGGCGCTGTCTGAGTCTGTGGTCGTTGGGTTTTAGCATATGAGTTAATTGAACTTTGTATGGATGAAAACCCAAGTCTTGACGCAAAACCGCCAGGTTGATGTCGCCGACGCGGAATGGACTGACTGGGGTTTTCTTGCACACTGTCCTAACCGGCAACAATATTCTCCAACGATTTTGCGTTTCTTTAACGTAAAGGGACTGTTTCATCGATTACCGACCCGGTTGTTTCAAATTTATTCTCTAAACGATGGATCGTGGACTCTGCAGAACGGCCATGAATGCCATAAATTGGACGTAATGCAAGAAATGTTAGGCGAACAGAGCACTGATTTTGGTAATAAATTTTAACAATTTCAACGCAACGACGGCTCCGTGGCGCAGTGGCTTAGCAATCAGTTGTTGCGCTGGGGGCCGCGGGTTCGAATCCCGCACGGAACAAGTATTTGTATGACCTACATATAATTGTTCCGGGTCTGGATGTTTGTCCTTGTGCAATTTATGTTTGTAAACTGCCTCCACGACACAAGAGAATATCCTAGTGTGGGGGTAACGTTTTATTTAAAACAAAAAAAAACGCGTTGTTGAAGCGTGTAGCGTTAAATGACAAAATATCAAGACTAAAATAGTATTCTTCAGCAAATTTGACAGATATCGTTTTACCAAGATGGCCGCTATTCGGTGTCAAAGTATAATCGTCCTTACTGAAAAATCCTTATATAGTATACCCATATATATAAATATATATAAATATATATATATATATATATATATATATATATATATATATATATATATGTGTGTATATATATATATATATATATATATATATATATATATATATATAAATTATATATTTTACGTGGTAGAGCCATGCTGCACCTATATTAGTAGTATAGTTGTAGTACGAATGGGTCGGCTCGCCCGGGGAAGGACCACGCTCTCACAGAAAACCAGCGTAAAATAGCAGCTTAACGCTGCTGTGTTTCGTATGGTAAGTGTAGAGAACCGGAGAACCTTTTTACCGGCAAAGAGGCATTTCATCTTAGTCCTCACGGGTGACAACGCATCTGCATCTTAAGTCTTTATTGAGGATAGATGTAGATGTCTAGGGGCTACAGCAACCACTTACCATCAGGTGGACTGTGTGCTCGTTTGTCACCCTATACTATAAAAAATAAAACAATTAAATACTAATGTAATTTTAAATGGGGAGAAACTGAGTCTTGTAGATGCCACCATTTTTCTTGGAATCACACTAGACGCGAAGCTTCAATGGACCCCCCATATATCAAAACTAGCAAGCAGACTTAGTTCTGCAGCATATGCCGTAAAAAATATTAGAAGTCTAACTAGTGTTGAAACAGCTAGTCTAGTTTACTTTAGCTATTTCCATAGCATAATGTCGTATAGTATTTTGCTATGGGGACACGCAGCTGACACTGAAATTATATTTGTTTTACAGAAGAAGGTCATAAGAGCAATTTATGATTTAAAGCCTAAAGAGTCGCTGCGATAAAAATTTAAGGAAATTAATATATTAACTTTGGCCTATTAAATGTAATGTACGTACACAAAAATAAAAGTAGTTTCACAAAAATAAGTGATATTCATTATGTAAATACTAGGAACAGACACAAGCTAGTAGTACCAGTTACTCGACTCCATCGAGTCAATAATTCATTCTTGGGGTGATACGGTTTTACAACAAAATTCCAGAAAATATACAAAATTTGACCTGCTCAAAGTTCAAAAACTTTATTAAACTAAGGTGGTTAAAAAAGCGTTATTATAATATTAAAGAATTTATAGATGATAATAACCCCTGGGAATGAGGTGATCGCTACCAAGCTATTTCTAATTTGTGTAACATACATGATTGTAAGCTGTTATTTAAAAAAAAAGGTCCCGCTGGGTTTCTTGCTGGTTCTTCCCAGGACAGAGGATTTTTTCAAACCAGTGGTAATTATACAAAAGAGTGACTTTCAATAATTATTATTTATAATCTATATTGAATAAAAAAGTTTCTGTTTCTGCTTATAAAAGACTTGGTGTTGTCAATATTTTTGAGATTATTTGGAACATTATTATTTTAATTACCATCGTATGGAGACCTGTTGTTTAAAAACAGTAGACCCAACAAATCAATAAGCTGAAGTGGCAATGTATGTTTACATACTAATCGATAAAGTTACCTCTGCTATATCCCCATCAATGTATCGAAACAGGAAATTATTGGTCCAACAGTCTCCATGGCATATAACCGCAAGGGGCTCCTTCGGTGCCACCTGCTCCACCATGGTCTGGAAAAACGTATCCTCGCTGCAGAATTCTCGGAACTTCTTCAAGTACAGGTCTTTCTTTTCCGAGTCCCGAAGTTCTTCCTCGACCATCGCAATGGCGTTTTGTGTCGCCTCAGTATAGTAGCTCTTGAAGTAATCTTCGTTTTCCGGAACAAAAAATACTGAAAATAGGTTATTTTTAAAACTTCTTTAGATATAAAGACATTAGTATTCTAACACTTACAACCACACACAAACACAAACACATAACACAATCGAATACAATTAAAGAATTATACGTCGCAGAACCATGCTGCATCTATTTTAGTAGTATAGTAAAATAGCAGATTAACGCTACTGTGTTTTGTAGGTATGGTGAGTGTAGAGAACCGGAGACCTTTTTTACTGGAAACGAAGCATTCCATCTTAGTCCACACGTCACAGCATCTACTAAGTACTAAGTACTTACTTAGTAGTAAGTAGATGATGCTGTGACGCACAGACATCTACATCTATACTCGATTAAGAACCAAAATGTAGATGCGTTGTCACCCCTGAGGACTAAGAGAGACTGCCTAGTATCCTATAAAAAGGGCCTCCGGTTCTCTACATTGACCACATGAAACGCAGCAATATTAAGCTGCTAGAATAGAATAGAATAGAATAGAATAATTTTTTATTCAATATAGATCACATGTGTAATTCTTATTAAAAGTCATTTTTTTTACTTTACCACTGGTCCGGAAAAAAAACCTCTGTCCTGGGAAGAACCAGCAAAAACCCCAGCGGGACTTTTTTTAAAAGCATATTTTACATTAATGATTGGTAGATACAAAATTTATTTTAGAAACAGCTTGGAAGCGACCACCTCATTCCCAGGGGTTATTATCAACCATGTACGAGTATTAATTTATACTATAATAACCCTTTTTATACAGTTTCAAGTTAACAAAACATTTAAACTTGCTAATAGAGAGAGCCTGTACACTTTCCGGGACCCTGTTGTAATAGCGTATACATTGCCCCATGAATGAATTACTGACTCTGTGGAGTCGAGAGACTGGTATTACTGGCTTGTGTTTGTTCCGTTTTTTTTTATTTCCATTTAAATGTAGATTATTAACGTTAAACCAATTTTAAGATTTTTTATAAACGCTATTTTAGGCTGGCATTCTGTGAGCATGCTGGTCCCTGAATACCAGCTGCTGGTACCCTGGTCGAGACGACCCATTCGTGCTACAACCACAATAAAGTTGCAGCGTGGCTCTACCACGTAGAAATAAATGTATAAAAGTTTTTATTTCTTTCCCATAGTTGTTTTTTTACTACACCCACAGGACGAAATGGGATCATTTACCTAAGCCGTCACCACCCCGCAGTCTCCCACAGGGAGAAGGATTTGCCGTAATCATTGTACTAGGTAGGCGTATTGCTAATCGCAGTACGCCAGCTTATTGCTATGCCAGACGTCTACTCCTTATGTTACTGCTTACCGTGGCCGGCCCATAATATACCATAGACCAGCCATATTAATTCGTACCATTGAAACAGAAACACAAACTTTTTTATTCAATATAGATTATAAACAATACTTATTGAAAGTCACTCTTTTGTTTAATTGCCACTGGTTTGAAAAAAAAACCTCTGTCCTGGGAAGAACCAGCAAGTAACACAACGGGACTTTTTTTTTCAAAAATATAACAGCTTACAATCATGTTTGTTACACAATTAACAACACAAAACAAATCATATATGATTTATACCTACACCCAAATGAGCGGGACAGGATGAAGTGATAAATTCTTTTACACTGCCACACTGTACGTCATACTGGGTATAAATTCTTTTACAAATCTGGTAATCTTTATCTGCCGGCAAGTTTAACATAATAAATTGTCTAGTTAACAATTGAAACCCCACCAATAGTCACCATCAGTCCGTGGCAGAGAGATGACTCTTGTTTTCTTTTGAACTTGAATTTTATGCGCCCAAAAATCGATCCCTTTTTAACATAATATGAAAGATTTATACCGCTCACCTTCAGATATACCATCCTGTATATTCAGTAATTCGTAAAACTCCTCCTGATTGTGATATTTCATCGCTAATGACAACGCATGGAAATGTGACAAATGTTTTAAAACGAAATAGCTTTGCTCGATGGTTAACCCTTGTCTTCTGTCTGGCATCACGAAACCCATTTGCTTTAAATCTTTTAAAATCACCAGATCATTTTGAGCGAGATAACATTTAGGTATACATTTGAAAGGGTTCGCCACCTTTTCCCACTGGGACTGAAACTTGATCAAGGTTGGCCAGATCTTAGTGTAGAATGCGACTTCATTGCAAAAAAGTTCGTCACTTTTGAATGCCTCCCTTCGCATAACGCTTTCAGGCAGGCATTTGTATATTATAGAACTCTCCCAAGGCTCTTCAGTGGATTCTGCATCTTTTTTTCTTATTCCTTTTAGGGATATTCTATAAACCATGGAAGTGTAATTGTCTCCTCGCTTTGTTCCCGGTGCACCCTAAAAGATAAAGCAATGTTATTTTTATTTTTTTTAAAACATCATCCCCCTCTGTTAGGATTATGATCTGTATCGTGGAGGCAGTCTACAAACATAAATTGCTCAAGGATAAACATCCAGACCCGGAACAATTATTTGTAGGCCATACAAATACTTGTTCCGTGTCGGATTCGAACCCGCGGCCTCAGTGTAGGGTTGCCAGATGGTCGGGATTCGTCTGGATTCTCCCGACATTTTAAATGATCTCCAGACTCCCGACAAAACTCAAAATCTCCAGACAAACAGCTTCTTGGAAAGTTCTATACAAAATAATAATTTAAAATTGCCACGTGCGTTCACGTTCTTCTTCGTCATGTCCCGATAAGATGGTTATCTCTTTTGCCCACTTTAGATAATTTACTGTATCGTTAGACTGCTGTAAAGCAGTATTTTGTTGAAAGGAGAAGTTGAAAAGAGATATTAATATGGGAGTTTGTAACAAAAAAGTATTAGCCATATTGCTAATAATAGTGAACAGATTGACGAATGCAAAGAGGAAGGGGATTTCAGAAGCCAATTTATACTTTGTACTTTGTAACCTAATGTTGGAGTTCCAAGTAGCAATTTTAGCATTGGAAAGTGCTGCAGGCACTGTCCTACAACTTAAAAGTGTAATGAAAAAACTAATGAGTCATCTAAAAACAGGTTAGATGACAATTTCTTAGGTAGTAGAAAATAACCTTATCATGGAACGTTTCCGATAGTGAGAAAACCCCTTTTTGCGTCAAAGCTGAACATTTTTTAAAACGAGCTATTCAATACTTGCAAGAACGCTATTTTTCTGAGAACTCTCTTTAAAAATTCGCTGTATTATCTTTAGAAGGTGCAAATTTATTTACGTGGGAAGAGAGAGTTATCCGTCTGACGTACTTAATATTTCAAACCGATATTGACTTTATATACCGATATATGTCTTCGAGAAACACTTAAGCATCTTCCAAAAAACAAGGATATGTAAAATGACAAAATTTGAGCATTTTTTTAATGCAACCAAAACGACCTAAAACTTGAAAAATAATATATCATAATATATGCCGATCCCTTTACGCAAGTGTTTAGTAGTTTGCTATATAATTTATATACCAAAGAGGGAAATCGTTAGTAAATGAATTGAACAAAAAATAGTTTCTGAATACTACTAAAGGACCTAAAGTGGGGGGATCAGTAAAGTCCAATGCCAATTACATGTGACAACCTAAAATTTAAGTATAATTAAATTGGTTATATGGCAACAATGCTAAGTCTTTGTGTAGCCTATTAATTAAAAAAATGTTTTTATTTTACGTTTTTATTTTTCATATTAATTTCTCCCGACAACAACCCCAAAATCCCGACATTTTCAAATTTTGTCCAGATATTTTGGCCTTCCGATCTGGCAACCCTACCTCAGTGCCACAACTCAATGTCAAGCCACTGCGCTATGGCACAAAAGAAACAGTAAAAGTAAAGCCGTCAAATTGATTAAATTCCTTCACAAGTGCACTGCAAGTGAGCAGCCCTATAATTTGTTTACCAGTACGACACTGCCTCGGGAATCGGTTGTCGGTTCTTCAAGCTATAATGGCGGCTTTACTGATCCGAGCCATGTGTTTTCATATTGAACAGAATTTTTCATCAATGAAGGCTAACTAACTTATATAACCAATAATGCGAATTTATTAGTTACTACTTTTACTAATAAATATGTTAATCTAACAATACATTTTAATCACAACTTGTAACATAATTATACGATAAACTGAAAAGAATCATTCATTCATAGTATTATAATTTGTATATTTATCTTAAAATAAATCACACATGTTTGTTAACAAATTGCGATTTTGATTGCAACGCGACGCGCGGTGTAGCAACTGCCCGCGTGACGAGAAAATAATAAATGTATTATTTTAAAGGATTAGGTAGGTAAAATATTTAAATCTTTCGCGGTTGTCCGAGGTCCGCGGTCGCCGATGATCCGGGGAATGGCGTAGGTATCACACTGTCTTAAAAGAAAAATCATAACACTTCAATAACTTCACCATTATTAAAGATTTTGGTGGGTTTAATCTAAATCAACAAACCAAGGTCATCTTTTTGTTAAATTTTATGTGTTTTTCTCCATTATTTTTGTTTTTTTAACTAACTTCAATAAGGCATAAAAAATATTTCTTTTATATAAAGTATTTACATATTATACTCGTAGAGTGCTGAATTTAAAATATATTTTAAACATGTTGTTGGTGTGCCTTTTACTAATAAAAAAAAATATATAGTAGCCACGCTTATCATGCGGGTTGACAAACGCAGTTTTTATTAATATTTTTAAATTGTTATCAGGAAGCTGCTGTTGCCCACGTGGAATATTATCTATACATATAATAAAAATGTAAAAAGCAGACGTCTGTACATTTTATATTTTTCTAATAAAAGTGATTGAGAGGTACTAAAAATAAGTAACTAAATACATTTCTACCGTTTTTAGAATTTTCTGTCTGTCTGTCTGTCTGTCTGTCTGTTTGTTTGTTAACGTATCACGTATAAAGTACTAATTTATATCATAAGAATAGTTAAGGAAATTATTAAGTATATATTCAGGTTACATTTAGTCTTTATTTCATTAAAATTGGTTAATTCCATCAAAAGTTATGACAAATATGCTGAAGTATGGGTACCAAGTATAGGTACGAATTTGTTCAATAGTGGCGTTGGATGAGTCATCAAGTACATTTTAAAATTAATATCATATTATAAATCATAATTAAATGATGTAAAATAATGTTCTATAATGATATAATTAAATCTAAAACGCAGTAAACAAAAGTATTACATAAAAAACGTAATAAATAATATACAAAATATATTAACCTTATTATCTAAACTAAATTAAAGTACAATAGTTAACCAATTTCATCGATAGATGGTGGTGTGGCATAAGTGTTATACAAAAAGGCAGGTTAAAATTTTTTCCTGTAGATGAGTTTCATATTTGCTTCTAACCTTTATATTAACGACACACTGCCCTACTGCGTGTTGACGATCTCATTTTTTTTTTTTACCGCCGAGTACTCTATGTGGTAAATCAAATTTTAAGAGCTATATTAACAATTTCGTTTTTCGGCGAGGATCAAACTTTCTTTTTTGCTTACTATGCAGACACTGATTTATAAGTTCTTTTATGTTTTTTATTGTATCAATCGTGTCAATTAATCCCTTATTTTTAGAATTGATGTTAACAGCGCCATCTCTCTTTAAATCGATACATATAATGAAAATGGTAATAACATGTGTCTCTTTCTGAATATTGTATAGTATATTAATTTGTGACTAAAATCATTATGGTGACTGTAAATCATTAAATAAGTACATTTTTATAATTTTTAGAATTGTACTATCTGACGGTCTGTCTGTTTGTTTATGGACGCATGACGTTTTGAGTAAACATCTTTTTTTCAATGAAATCCTTAAGAAAATCATAAAGCGTATTATCAAGTTCATTTAATCTTTGTTTTATTGAAATTGGTTAATTCTATCGAAAGTTATGATTATTATTTTGAAATGTAGGTTCGAATTTGTTTAATGGCGCCACAAAATCTCAGAAATAGTAATAAAAAGATTCGTGTGTAAAAAAACGTTCTATTATAATATATTTCGTATCGTTCTATTATAGTACTTAAAACACAGTAAAAAATATGTTTTCCTTAAATTAAAAAAGGATGTTTTCTCACAAAGAACGTAATAGATGGCGTTGTTCAAATTACAACCTTTTCTGAATTGCGGTGTTAAGATTTTTCGCAGGTGAATCGTATTGAGACTCACTGAAACAATTTATGTCCATGACCTTGACGAAGTTGCAAGGCTGTAAGGTATATATACAGTAATCTATGCCTGCCTGTAAGAGCCGTGTAGTTTAACAACACATCACAAAAATCATCAGAAACAAAAACCAGAAAAAAAAAAGATATTGAAATATTCAATTATTCAACAAAACTCGACTAAAAGTATAAAGTAGCAAAATTGCAATAAATGTCGTGATAGTGATATTGTTTTATACTCAGAATCCCTCTAATACCAAATAACTTTCCTTTCAGTTTTAAGTAAAGTAAAGTAAAGTTGCAGCCTATTTACGTTCCACTGCTGGGCACAGGCCTCCTCTCATTTCTGAGAGGGTTTTAGGGCAAGGAAATGTTCGCCGCGCTGCCCCAATACGTGTCGGCGAACTTCACATGTCATCGAAATATTTTTTTTTATTTCTCAGACATGAAGTTTTCCTCACGATGTTTTCCTTCACCGCCGAGCACGTGGTAAATCAGCACTTAAAATTGCAATTAACAATTTCATTGGTGCCGGCGGGGATCGAACCCGGGTTGCTCGAGTACTGTGAAGCTTACAGTGAGCGCTAACCATCTGAGCTACCACGGCTCAGGCTTCAGTTTTGAAATAGGGATAATAACATCGATGATGACATCGATGTTGGCATCGATAGCTCAACATCGATGTTCGATGTTTAGGCTACTCAAAACATCGATGTTGGCCATTATCGATGGTTTTTGTATATGTGTAGATACTTACACATTGTTTCAAAATTATGTGGGTATACACAGCAAGGGAAAAGTAACAATTAACTTGAATATCAATTTACGTAGAATAGTTATTATGCGGCAACCAACAACGACACTACAAAATAAAGCGAAAGCAGTGACCATTGTGACATTACAGGAGGCACTTGACAATTAAGTTTGACTTACCATACTGATATTTTTTTAGGTTAAAGATGCCTTTAGAAATTCTGAATTATTCAAAATTTTTAATCTTCAGAGCAGATGCAAGATTTAGTTGATATTGATTTCGCGAGTTCGCATTGTTTGCAAGTTCCCAATTATCGATTATGGGTTCACTGACGTCGATGTTTCGATGTTTGACATATTATGTCAACATCGATGTTAAAACATCGAAGTTTTAATTTTTAACATCGATGATCA